CTCAAAAGTGAGTCAAAAAACATTCATTTTCGTTCAAAAAAAATCAATATGTTGATGGGGTGTCCAGTAACTGGAACTGGATTAAGTTTCAATTTTCAATTTTCAGTTGTTATCATTATTATTATTTATCTGGCCATTTGTATTGGTCAAGTTACATGTTATTTAAACCATTGAACTGACCTTGAGATGAAATAAAGTTAATACGTTAAAAATGATAACGATAAATTTGATAGACTGTTGTATATATTTTGACAATTCAATAATCACCAAGCCTTAAACTAACTTTAATTAACAATCTAAAAAACTTTCTGATACAATGATAATCATGATTAACTGACCAGTGTGATGTCATAAACCTTCAAGTAATCAAGGATGAAATTCATTTAATAATTTGACAAGGAATTAAAGTTACAAGTCAATTTCAATTAACGTCATCCAAGTTTAATTGTTTGATTTAATCGTACCAGATTCATATTACTGATGGTCATCTGAAAAATAAAACTTGAACATATTAATGAAAAAAAGATTAACCTGAACATTAGACTCGAACTGACCAGAACCCAATGTCCAAGTAAACAGAATCATCTTTATAAGACTCTTAAAGCTTAACTTGAATCATATTTTACTTTAATCATCATCATCATCATCATCATGATATCAACTCAAGTTTGGAGATAACAATTCATCAAAATGAATCAGTGTGACCAGAAAATCATGTTTTCATATTACTATTACTAAATATAAATAGTAAATGTCAAATGTTTGATTGTCACCTTTAATTGACACTCATCTCAATCATGATCATTTAATAATTTCAAGATTAAAATCAGAACCTTGAGTTTCATGAGGTTTGTTGAAACAGAAAATTATATTATCATAAATGATACAATATTCAATTAGGTTAATTGTTTCCTTCAATATTAACATTTTGTGTGAATAATAAAAATTTACAATAAAGTTGAACAATCTAAAAGTTTTTTATTACTTCATTTGTATAATTGTTAAGCCAAAGGTTTTACTGAAAGTTAATTGTTGAAAGTATCCACAAATAATGCTACTCAATTAACTCATTTCAATGACTAACAATATTGTTAATCATTTTGCTAATTAAATAATCTATTCAATTATCAATGTCAGAAACAGTGGATTGTCAACAAAAGTGCAAAAAAAAGTATTCGAGCAAAGTTTTATCAAGGATAACATTTCATGGGAATTACTTTCGATTATCATGAATCTATGAAAGTTCTGAGTTGGAACTTTTTTTTTATTCCTTTTCTTTTCTATTAACTCGTATAATATATATCTATGAATTTTGTCCCTCGATTATACAATATCACCCAGAACTATCATTCAAATTCAGATTCATTATCATGATTATATTTATTATATGTTGATTCAACAGAGTAACCTGATTATATCTTTGACCAAGAGGTAAATAAATCATCATGTTGTTATTGTTTTCTTTGCCGATTCTCTCATCAGAATCGTTGATGATCATTATCATTAAATTGTCTTCATCAATTGATGAATTTAGCTGATTAATCAACTGGGATTATAATGAGTAGATTAAATTTTCTGATCAACATTCTGACAATCATTTCCGTTGATATAACATCTGATAGTTTTTTTTTCATGCTGTAATAATATTAAGCTTCCTGTTTGAGATGAGAAAAAAAATTCATTTCAAATTCATGATATGTTATCATGTTTTTCATGGTGAAAACAACGATATATTACTAGAATTGAGAGAGAGAGAGATCTGAACATGATCTTAATCTAATGTAAACAATAATCAAAAACTACAGAGGAAAAACTATTATCATGGTTATCACAAATTTCAAATTCATTTTCTCAAAGTATAATTTCAGATTCTAAAGTAAATATTAATAATGATAACTTTTATCGGTTTGAGAATCTGAATCACAATCATTATCGTAAGTTAATTATACTGAGACATGATTAAATTCAGGTGATGGGTTCAAGTTTGATGAGTTTGAAAATTAATTAATTGTGCTTTCGGTGTAATTTTGATTAATCAAATTCTCAATTCCAATTCCCGTTGGAATCTCATCTTATTTCATATTAAGTTCATTATTCATGTTTCAGGGAATTTAAAATTATGTTTAGGAGGAAAAGTTTCACCCAATCAATAAGTAACTTACTAATTATCTTCCTCATTGATTTAATCTGATTATAATTAACGGACTTTGATGTAATTGCTGATTGAAAATTGTCAGATCTTAGAATCACTGATCATGATTCCTCCTGAATCTCATGAAAATATTACTTCCAGTATATAGGAATGGAATAGTTTTAATAATATCTAAGAATTTAAGTTCATGGAAAGCTAATTATGAACATAGAGGGAAAAAATATTCGATATCGAGAATTTCCCGCTCCTATGTAATGGATTCTTTACCGAATTCTGAAAGAGAAAATTCTGTCGATTTTTCATCACAGAATTTATACATTTTTCTTTGAGCATTTAATTTAAGGTTCTATGGATGTTACATGCTCGTTTTCACTTGAAAATTAGTGATATGTTTTCATGAAAGCTCTAATTAATCCAATCATGAGGCTTCTGGTTTCTATCTGGTTACTTAATCATTGAATTTATCATGAATGGAAATGAGCTAACGAGAGAAAAGTTCATATAATATGCTCATTATCATGAAGATCATGAGGATAATAAATGAAACATTCAAGACTCTTAATGCATATTAGATAATATTATTGTTCGCTATTATCAGTTTCTATCATGTTATCTTCATGATCTGATTTTTTTTCTCTCTCTCTCTCTTACTTGAGCAGAACTTATCCCGATAATGTATTACATTTACTTGGATTATTATCGCTATCATTAAAATTGAAAGGCAGAGAGCCAAAGGAATCGTAATCATAATCAGAGTCAGGATCACAATCAACTGAATTAAAGCAGCAAGATTGAAGGATAGAGAATAAAAAATTATGTTCTGTTCTGGATAACATTGATTACGAATTAAGGAAAAAAAGTGATTCAACTTGAAATGTGAATACTGACAATTTGCTCATCAACATGAGTCTCAGTTCTTATCATTTATTCATGAATGATAACTTTTACTCCATTTGTTTGTGTGGTGGTGTTAGTTTTTTTTCCCTACACTCATCATGGTAATGATCAGTTGGAATCCATGATCAATATGAATCCAGAATTACTGGTTAACTGGTTATTAAAAAGAATACCCTGGATTCCAATCAGCTTCATTCTTAAGGTTCTAACAAGCTAGTTATCTATTTGGAACTGAATTAAGGTGAAATGAAGGCGAATAATTTCCTGAATTTAATCTTACTCTTTTTGTCTTTATTATCAATAGAAAAAGGAATGAGAAAAAAAAAGTCTCGAACAAATTTCGAGCAAATCTTTTCATCTCAACAAAAGATTAGGAAACTTTTTTTTTCTCTCAAAGTTTCGATTAGAATCTGATGAACAATGATGATGAGGAGAGAGAAAAAAAAGTTCTACTTTCGATTTGTCTTTATGTCACCAAGATGGAAACAAAAAAAAACGTAAGAAAAAAGTTCATCAGAATCCATAGATTCAGATGAGATGAGATTCGGCGAAAAGTTAAATCGAGAAACTTATTAATCGTCATAACTCATGAAGATCATTGTTCATCAACGTCAATTAATCAATCGGTGTAAATCAATCATCGGTAACGATCAACTTAAAGTAAATCTTGAAGCCTGTTGTTAGAAATACAATTTAATCCAACAATTAAAACTTTCTTCCAATTAATCAAACAGAGAAAATCTAATTTCCAATCTAATAGCTTATCCAAAATCTCATCATCTCTCCCCTGAAACTTTCACCTTTTAGTATTTAGACTTGATTTTTAAATTGAATCTGAACTCTTTTTTTCATATTACTTTAATTAATCAAAATTTGTACTAAATTAATGAATCCCCTGGATGATTGAAACTTGAACTTGCTTTGAATTAACTGAACTTTTTTCAGCTTCCATTTGAAAATCAACCATCAGCATGAACATGATGATGATTATGATGAACATTATTAACTAACTTTTTTTCACCCTGAAAATTTTTAATTATGAAATTTAACCTGGAAAATAATTATACTGATTAAGTTAATAATTGCTGTTGGATTTTTACAAGAATTAACTCAATTAAATTTAATTCAATCAACAACAATAAAAACAAACAAACAAACTCATTATAATACTAAAAATTAATTACCATTGAAAATTTCTCATGATTAATTTTATTTCATTGATTTAATGATTTTCATTTCCAATTGATGGACAATTTTACAAGTCAATCGTTTCAGAAATCATTTTCCATTAACAATTAGTTGATTACAAGTCAACTCTAAAGCTATAATATTAATAACATCTCTCTGAATTCATCACCATGTAATTAATTAAAATGATTAATTAGTATAATAAATAATAACAATCAACTTGGATGTAAAAAAAAACTCCTTTAGGTCAACAAATGGGAAAATTTTTCCTCTCGTTGAAACTGTAAACATTAACGAGTATCATCAGCATCTTCATGACTTGAATTTAAAACTGAATCAAATTAATCATGAAAATCTACAACGTGACTGAATAATTATCATTAATAATTTAAATCACTTGACGATAAACACTTGATAATATTAAATAATACAACAAGGACTGATAAATAGGCTTGGAATTGGGGGAAAATAATAACAATTGTTGGTGAAAAGTTTCAATGGAAACCTGAATAGTTTCAATTGATTTCTGTGTCTAATCAACAATCAGAAAAGTTGAATCAATGATTGAGTGATAAAAAATCATTAACTTAAAGAGGATCAATAATATAAACTGTTGATTTGGAAAAGTTAATGAGTTTGAAAGTTTTTCCTGTTCCTTTTTCAATAATGATAATAATCACTCCCTGGGCTCATCATGATTCTGATTGTAATTGAGTTTCAATTTTCTTAATTTACTGATTGATTTTCATTTCTGCTCTTTAAGATGGTGCTGTTCAGTGTTCAAGCTCACCCTGAAATCAGCGATTACACCCAGTGTGTTGATTTCGACGCTTTCACCCAAGAGTGGCATCGGAAATTGTATAATATTTTTAGCCTTTGCGTTGTTTATGTTATACCTTTGCTCATAATCATCATTTGTTACACTGGCATTTGTATCAAACTATTTGCCAACTCAAGATGCCTTGGTAATGTTAAAGGTAAGCCTTTAATTGTTTATTTCAATCATTGATTACAATTTAATCAGATCAATCGATCAGAATCTCAACTGTCAACCAGAGTTTTATTGTTCTATTGGTTGAATTTTGAGTACAATAGTTGACGTTTGATCAAAGTTTCTAATCAACATTTAATCGCCTCAGGATATTGTTTGATTCGATCTTTGATACAATTAATTATTGTTCGCAATCAGATTAGAACGACACATTTTCCACTTTTAATCTTCGAACTTTTTTTTTCTTTCCAAAAGCTCTCGAAATCCCTAAGTTTTTCTCGGAAAATCTCAAATCCTCTTTAATTAACTTTAATCACACCAAATTGTAGAATCTAATGTAATCTCAACAATATATTATCTCTAATTAGCTAAAAATTTTCTTCGTTTTTCAATTCTTTTTAGTTAAGAACCCAACTCTTTTTTGGTCATAAAGTTTTCGAAGAGTATCTTAAAAATATCGTCCAATTTTAAGGCGAATCATCCAGACGGAAGTTATTTGAGGCCAAAGTGCCAAATTCGATATCTTATAGTGACCTAGCTATTAATTATTATACAACTCTAATTATTATCAACTCTTATTTGAAACATTTTAATTCTTTTTCGAACTCGATTGAAATTTCTCAGAACGAGATTAAGAGAATACTCTCTCTCTCTCTCTCTTGCTCAGAGAATTATTAATATACAATGTAATGGTCACTACAACGGGTACGATTGTTAGGTCAGTATTGTCGATTATGTGAGTTCGAGCATCGAGATTATCCTGATGATATTGTCTTTCACTAATTAGAATTTAAATATTTAAATTCCCATAGATTTGGTTGCTATATAATTTTAGGTTAAATTGGTTGTTCGTAATAAATTATCCCTTAATTGTGCTGTAACTTAATGAATTTGCTCACTTTAATTGTGATCCATGTTAATTAAATAAGCTAGACAAATGATGGACAGTTAGCTGAAAATAATGATCACAATTAAATTGTTAAATTAATGTAATAACATTGATCTGAAAAATGTTCATCTCCTGTCGAGTCTCTGAATTTAGTTAACTCGCTAAATTTAACTCAGTTTAAAATGAAATTTATTTGTTTAGTATAATTCAGTTTGAACCAATTGTGATACAATTAACGTTCAAATGGTTAATATCATGATAATCATGATCAAAGTTAAACAAATTATTTTTTTTTTCTGCTCAATTCAGTCAGTGAATACAAGTAATTTATGAACAAGCTAAAAGTTCATTCATTCAGTTTATTCAAGTAACATGATGCAAGTTCATTTATCATGTAGATATATTAATAGAATGACATTTGTCACCATCACTTTATTGTGATAAACCGGAAAAAATCGGAAGTTGATTATTGTCGATATTTCAAGAACAGGAAGTTGCCTGAAAGTTTCATTAACTTGGAGAGAGTTAATTCCGAACATGTTATATGTAAATCATTAAATTAAATGATGAGTTTAGAATTAAAATCGAGAATAATAATGGATAATTGAATTAGGACAATTTCCTAAACACAATTTTCATCATTTAGTTGACAAAATCGTTTTCTTAACTGAATGAGAAATAAATTCCATACAATTAACTTTATATAACTTATATTGGGTTGATCAGAAAATCTGATTAACACTCAAGACAAAACCAATTGATTAATCATGAAGTTCTGGTTGAATATTATTATATTATTCCTCTTGGGGAATATGTTACAAGAGAGGGGGAAAAAAAGATCATTGATAATTAATAACAATCTACTCGCTCAGTTCTGATAAATGACAAGTAAATTAACGATTATTTTTTTTTCGAAACTTTTTCTCCTCTAATTAATGTTAAGCTGCTTTTGACGATTGCTGGAACAGTTTGTCTTCCGTTGAGCCTTCAACATCATTATCCTCATCATCTCTCCATCAAAATCACACTACCAATCATCATTACCATCGATCATCTCCTTCAACAGCAACAACAACAACAACCTACACCCGAGAAACTGAATCTCTTGAGATTCTCCCTGCTCCAGAATCCAGTGTAACCGCGAAACGTCAAAAGATTCAATCTCGAGTTCTAAAAGAAGCTTTCATAATAATATTAGCATTCATCATATGTTGGTCTCCTTATGTGATTGCAGTGATCTGGTATCAAATTGATCGTAATTCAGCTTCTCAGATTAATCAAGACCTTCAGGCGATTCTCTTCATGTTTGCCGTATCCAACTCATGCGTCAATCCTTACATTTATGGTAAAAGTTTCGTTTTCCGTAATTTTTGAAACTTCACTTATGAAAAGAGAGAGAGAAAGAGAGAGAAAGAGTGAGAGGGAATATAAAGATTCATTCATCATCATGTTCGTCATCATAAACTTCATGGACTTTCAAACTAAAAACCTGATATTCAGCAATTCAACTTTGTTGTTGAGGAATAACAACAAAAATGAGAAAATAAAAACATTCTAAATCTATGGAATCCCGAGAATCATCAGAATTTGAACAGACAAAAGAAACAAAATCTACTAGCAGAGCATTTTCATCACTTTCCACCTTCGAAGACTTTTTATCCTCATCCTTTTCTTTTTCCTTCATCCTTACCACTTATTTTCACCGTTATATTTATATAACTAAATCTCAGCTTAACCTAAAGCCTTACTATTACATCTGATTCCTGTTTCAATTGAAATAATCATGTTATCATCATGCTACACCGAATATCATTCAAGTTTATTATTACAAGACGATGAACTTTTTTTTTCATTTCATTCATATTTTACTTTAATCTTTCACTATTTAATCAAGAAAAAGATTACACAATAATATGTTAACCTCACCTGAGTGCCCAAGGAAATACATAATAATATTATATCAAATATTGAAGTGGAAGTTCACAAGTTAAATAAGGGTGAATATGTACAAACATCATGTTGAGAAATTTGGAAATGAAATATTCTGATAAGATTTGATGGAAAATAAAAAAAAAGAACAACTTTTCAAAAAATAAACTCCATGAATTCCCTTGTAATAAATAACCATAATATGCTACCAACAGAAATACCTTGAATTTCAATGAATAATAAAAGTTTAGAAACTTTTTAATATTGGAAGATAAATGTCTGTCTCTTTACATTAATTAAACTGAATAAATGATCTCAACTCATGAGTTTACCTGAAGAGTGAAAATTTTTTTACTCCAAATTGAATGTCAATCAAACCATGTTAACGGTAAATCCTTCAGTTGAATAAAGGTACAGAACTTTTATTTAAAGTAAAGAAAAGAGCCAAATTCTGTGTGCATTCATGGTAACTTATAAGGTTCTTTTTTTTCAAATAGTAGAAAGAGAAAAGAGAGAGAGAGAAAGAGAGAGAGGAGAGAGAGAGAGAGAGAGAGAGAGAGAGAATATACACTAAAAATCTACAGAAGAAGCTTGTTAATCTGCGATAGAAAGTTGAGCAAAACCGATCAGGAGCTTTTCATCAGGTACTTCGTTCTCATCTCCGTTATTATCATGGCTCTGGATAGAAGAAAGAAACAAAAAAAAAGATGACCGTTAGATATAAAAAAAAAGTACAATTAGGATGTAGATGTTTTCCTATTTATGATGAAATGAATCATCATCATCAAATAGTGGGAACAGGTAAAAAAAAGTGCAAAATGAACGTAGGTGGTCATAAATTATCAGGTATAAATGAATATCATCATAATAATGATAGGGCGAGGAATAAGGAAGAAATTGAAGGCTATGGATAACGGGATAATGGTGAATGCGGAAGAGTCTGGGTGAAATTGAGTACAAATAAACTATTTTTGTTTATGGACGGGATTCAAAAAGGAATCGGGAAAACGGTTTAGTAATATGAAGGTCAAATGTTTGAGAGATCATCAAGGAAAATCTCTTAACATTGAGTACTAACCAAAGCGAAGATCACATTTTTCATAGAAATATTCTGTTCGAAGTTGGTCTCTATCAACTTTTGAAGGTTAGAGGCAACGGTTATCACATCACGATTATCAACTAATCCAGCTTGAACAAGCTCTTGGGCTATTCCTTCAGCGGTATCTGTGAGAAAAATGAACAAATGAATAGACAATAATTAGATTTAGAATAAATTGTCACGTGATATGCCAAAGACTTTGAGTTTACAACCACTGGTTGAACCATTCGCGCAGGTAATGATAATCAGGTAGATAATATTTGATATCCAATCAGATGACCATTTTGTGAGATAATATCGTTTAAATTAGAGGGCATTAATTAGCATTAGCTCTCTGGGTTAACTTTACTCCCTCATTGATTATATTTAACTGCGTGAATGACACAAGTAACTGTAAACTCAAAGTCTTTGGTTGTATATGTACTGACCTCTGTCTGAAGAATATTCAAAACGAATATCGTTCAAATCTCTTTGTGAATTTCTTATTCTTAGAACAAGATTAATGGTTGGAGGTGATGGAGTAGCATTATTGTTACTACCACAGGAATCAGATCCACTTTGCTGGCCTTGGTTGGTATTAGAAGGCACTTCACGAGAGGTTGAGGAAGATGATGAGGTGGAGGAGGAGGTTTGATTAGTTTTTACATCATGTTGACTATTTTCTACATTATTGTTGTTTATATTTATGTTAATATTGTTGGTGGTACTTGTATTGTTTAAATTGTTGTTGTTGTTGTTGTTGGTTGTGGTTGGTGATGATGTTGAATTACTATCATTTTTACTACTATTTGGCTGAGTTCCAGAGCCAACAGACGAATTGGCTGATGAGTCTTTGTTGTTACCATCATTTGGATCGGAAGAATCATCATCTGAAGACCAAACCCAATCACCGGTTTCAGTTCGGTGAAGTCGTCCACTGGTTCCTGGTGGTCGTCGGACATTTTTCGCCTTTTTGGCTCTTTCCTCGATACTTGGAGCGCAAGATAAAAGATTTTGAACGAGATACTTTTTATCTTTTGCTTTTCTAAGGAACGGATGTTTAAGCAGCTCAGTGGCAGTTGGCCTTTTCGAAGGATCTTTCTGAAGACAATCACAGATCAATTTCCTAATAGATTTACCATAATTCTTGTATTGGTCTTTATCTTCGGCAACAGAGTCAAGAGTCGGAGGATCATTTTGAAGGGTAAGCATCAGAACCTAATAAAAGATGAGAAAAGAATAAAAAAAAATATTAATAATACAATCAGAGAATAAAATTTATCAACAATAAAAGAGTAATCAGAATGATCGTCATCACCAATTTATCAACAATTTAAAAAAGAAACTGCAATAAAAAAAGTGTAAACATAAAGTGTCAACATTTCAATTACAAGAAGCAACGTAATTAAGTATAAGTAAACTTAATGAATAATTATTTGTAGATAACAGCATAATAATGGTTAATTACATGGGATTAAGTCAACCTGATTGTCAATAATCAACTTGAGTTAATATCAATTGGTTCAGTTTCATCACTTAAATTATGTTTCCTTTTGGTGGTAATGTTGCTTTTTAATGGATAAATTGATCGCTTTGCTAACGGATGTCTGATTAACATGCAATTCAAGTTGAAAACGAAGCGAAAACCATCAATCAAACTAAAGATGAACATCCTGAAAACATTGGAAACTGAACCATGATGATCCCAGGTGATCAAATAGAAACATGTACAACTGCAAACAACACATAGATACACAAATAGAAAGGATATCCTAAGCTCTGACATATTCCTTTGCTTTTAAATTTCCTTGACCTTTCAAGTGAAGGTAAATGGCAAAAGAGTTTGATAATATTAGATAAACACTTTTCCTTGATAACAGTAGCAAATTTAAAAGGAAAGAGGAATTGAAAGAAAACAAATTCTAATGTTTTTATCGATAAATTTGTTGATAAAATCCATGGTGAGTTAAGTGGTGTTGGTTAATGGTGGTAATCAGGAATTATCATTAAGATGATCATCTACTGGTGATGGTAAATGACGAATGTTGATTGCAGCGTTTCTTTTTTTTTATATTGATAATTATGGTGATGAACAAGATAATAAATGTATCATCATCATCATCATCATCATCATCATCATCTTACCTTCATGGGTGGATAAATGTGATAGGGAGCAGTACCGGTAACCAATTCAATGGCAGTAATACCCAAGCTCCATATGTCCGCCTTAAAATCATAGCCGGTTACTTGTTCCATAACTTCCGGAGCCATCCAACAGGGTGTTCCTACAAAGGTATGACGTGATCGTTGACGGGAAAGATCACCACCAGTGGCAAGCCAAGAGCTTACACCAAAATCGGCAATCTGAACTTCACCATTTTCACCTAATAATATGTTACCTGCTTTAATGTCCCGATGAATTTGACCATTATTGTGAAAATATTCTAACCCTTTAAGAACCTCTTTAAGAACCGTTGCAATGGTACCTTCATCAAAAACACCATGTTTACAATCCTCTGTTTTCATTTTATGCTTTATTATGTCCAATAAAGAGCCTCCGGCGAGTAATTTAATTACAAGCCAAAGCTCTTCTTTAACCACAAAACTGGTATGATAAGAGACAACATTCTCATGGTTACAGGCTGTCATTGCTTGAATCTCTTTCAATAATTCATCCATTGAGGTATTCCATTTTTCTAGATTAATACGTTTAATTGCACACTTTTCCTTCCTTGGTTTACAGTAGGCTGAATGTACCACTGCGGTAGCACCAACACCGATAACTTCACCAAGCTCATAATCATCTTTACCATTTGGCCAACTGTTACCCGATTGACCCAATGAAGAGGTTCCTGAAGATGAGACTGAATTACTTGTGGTGGTGGTGGTGGTGGTTGTGTTATTATTGTTGTTAATTGATGAAGCTGATCCGGTTGAGGTTGTGGTTGAAGATGATGAGGTTGTCGATGCTGATCCATTGCCAGATGATGATCCATTCATCATGAGTTTAGTATCCTGATTATCGGTGGTTAACATGATTTTGGAAAAAATCAAAACAGAAAAACACAAAGTATAACACCAATTGAAAAATAGAAAAATAGAAAAAGAAAATTATGAGAGAGAAAGAGAGAAAGAGAAAGAGAAAGAGAAAGAGGTAGAAAATAAAAAAAAACGAATTAAAAACAAAAACAATTAAATATGAAGAATAGAAAACAATGAGAGATGATGACAAGCAACAAAAAAGAAAACAAAATTAACCAGAAAGAGAGAAAGAGAAAGAGAAAGAGAAAGAGGTAGAAAATAAAAAAAAACGAATTAAAAACAAAAACAATTAAATATGAAGAATAGAAAACAATGAGAGATGATGACAAGCAACAAAAAAGAAAACAAAATTAACCAGAAAGAGAGAAAGAGAAAAGAAAGGAAATGAAGAAAGAGAGAAGAAGAAAACTAAGTAAGATGGTGGAAAGAGAGAAAGAGATTGAGAGAGAAAGAGAGAAGAGAAAAAGTATAAGATTTGATTTAACACTGAAAGAGAATCAATTGAAAAGGGAAAAGGTTTTCACTCTACATGTAAATCAAAATGGAAAAGTTAATTAAACAATTAAATCAACCAGCGAATATTAAATAACAACTGATGCTGATTGTTAAGTGAATGTTTGTATTCCATGTAGTTGATGTTCACATTGAGACGCATTGAGTATGTCTGTCTGATTACCTTACATTCTCACTCAATCTCCCTCTTTCTTTATCTTCTCTATCTCCTTTCTCTTTCTCTGTCTATGTCTCACTCTCTTTCTACTGAATGGTTTAGTTTTACAATCTATTGATTGTTGTCTCTCACCATCGCAAATTTAATACCAATTGTAACCTATGCTGGTAACCACAGAATCACCTTATCATAAATACACTGAATTAACACAACACTGATGTAACGAAATGATGATCAAGATGATGGTTTGGTGGAAGGAGAGAGAGAGAGAGAGAGAGAGAGAGAGGAAAATGATGATTGAATTTTTCACTTTAGAATAGAATTTTTTTTTCTCAATGTAATTTATCTTAAGTTGATGAGGGTTTTGCAGAATTGTAATTCTACCTTTAAATTTTTACATTTAAAGTGCAAATATAACGAAAACACTGGTAGGTTATTAGAGATTAGGAGTGGATTAAGGGGAGATACAAGGGAAGAGAAAAAGATACAAAAAGGGTCAAAGAATAATTAACTAATAAATTAAAAGATTAAATTGATGAAAGAAAACAGAGATTAATTAAGAGTTGAAAAGGTTGATTGGTTGGAGTGACTCGAGAGTATGAGAAGCCGGTATAAACATTACTCTCTTTCTCTTTCTTTCTCTCTCTCTCTCTCTCTCTTTTCCATGTCTCACTTTATCATCTCTCCCTCACTTGTTCTTCTTTTTTTTATCCTATCAATTGACTTGTCAGAGCTCAAAGAAAATGATGAAGATGCAGGAAAAAATGTAGATGAAGAGGATGAAGATGGAGATGATACTCCTCTTCTTTTTTTCTTCAGTATCAACTTATAACTAACCCGTTAGGATTTACCAGGAAGTTAACCAGTTTTTTGGCTAACATTCATTACCATTGATTGGGACAAGGTTATCATCCTCTTTCTCTCTCTCTCTCTCTTTCTATCTCTCTTTCCAGAGTATTAGGTGTGCACATTATAATTTCTTGGCTGGTTAACAAATAGATTGAATAAAAAATCAACATTGATATGAGAAAACATGTAATCCATGATGTAACCGGTAATCGAAAAGAAAATTAATCAGGAAAAGAAACTAATAACAAAGATAATCTAATTTATTCAATCGATTTAATTAATTGTTGACCAAATTGATGGAAAAAAAATCAAACTGGTAATCTAATAGTAACCATGTGATCTATCTCTGGCTTTTCTCTCTCTCTCTCTCTCTCTCTCTCTCTCTCTCTCTTTCTAGCCATTGGTAATTGAACTTTGATTTAGTTGTTAATTGTGATACTTTCATTAATTTATTTTCTCAATCAATTTGTTAATTGTTTTTGGTATCTTTTATGATTTGTGTTTGTTTTTAATGAATTAGTCTAACTTCTTATAATCAATCAAGATCAAACTTGATTACCATGACATTGAAATCCAATGAGATTAATCAACATTATTAATCAATCAATAAGTGTTGACGAGGTGATAAAGGATAAGATGAATTCTGAACATGCATCATCATTGGGAATTATATTCAGTGTATTTATTGTATTGATCATCTCCATTTACTTGATTACTTTAGATTCAATTTGATTGAATACAATTAATTAGAGAGATTAGTGAATCGATGATTTACTGATGAATTATTATTTTTTTCTTACTTTTTTTTTCTTTTCTCATCAATTTCTTTCAACAAATAATCACTTACATTGATTTGATTATGTTTGGAAATTTTCTCAGCCAAAATATCAGCGAAACTTGGTCTTGGTGTAGTTCGAAGTAGTTCAACGGTATTAACATCTTTCTTACTTCCTCCATGACTTAAAGCCTTTCGAAGTCTCAATTTCTCCTTTTCCAAAAGGTGATTGAGCTTTGCTGTTGTCCCATTTTTCATTGGTCTCAGGTAAATGTACTCGTCAGATTTATTCTGATATTGAGATGATGGTGATGATGAAGGTGGAATCAAATGAGAAGCTGATGTTGATCTCAATGTTTCCGATAAAATTTGTTCACTTGCACTGATTCGTCTGTACGTTCCAGGGGAAAATGGATAAGCAATAGCAGATCCTTTTGTCGAATCGAAATTAAATTCTGTCTTTCTGTTATTATAATTCCAATGGTCAAGATTCAATTAGAGAAAATATCAGCAAATGGACCGATCAACAGCCAGGATACGATATTTGGAAGAGAGAGAGAGAGAGAGAGAGAGAGAAATTTCAACAATGGAACATGTAATTAAAGAAATTCAGTAAAAAAAGTGAAACAAATTGTTACTTTGAAATTAAATGAGTCACCTAAACAATCAAAATAAATGATAGGCCTTTCAAAATTAAATATTGATTTATGTTCAATATCAAAAGCTATCATCAAAACGATTGCTGGTTATTACAAAATAGACATTGCTGATACTACGACTGGTGAAAAAATGGCAATGAATGTTGATAGAATATGAAAAAAAATCAAATGTCATCAATTTATCGTCATTGATTGATTATCATTGTAAACAGAATCATTTAAAAAAATGATTACAATTGAATTGGCACCGGAACAACGTTCACGTGAAACTCAATTTATGATGAACCTGGAAAAAAGTATCACTTCCACCCTGAATCAAAGTTTCATGATGGAAAATGAATTATCGTAAGTCAAGAGTAGCCTCAAGATTATTATTAGGGATAAACTGTATCATCTTGATTGATATCTTGAAGCGATCAAGAAAAAAAAAGGTCTCAGGGTAAATAAGTCACATAATCATCATTAAAAAGAGGTAAAATTAAGCTTAATTGCTTGAAGCGATAATCAATTCAGTTAAATTGTTACAATCAATAACTTTACTACTCTCAAGTTCAATCAATTCCTCCACCTTCTGAACTTGAATGAAGGTTGGGAGATTCATTTTTGATACCTAATTAATTTCTCTTGTCAGTTTTTTTTACTATTTCATTCATTTTCATTTTACAAATTAATCGTCATCACAATATATTAATTGTTAATGATTTTAAAATGTAGGAAAGAAGGGAAATTGTTTAATTGTTGATTTAACAATGAAAAGTCAACGGAAGATCAGGGTAACGTTAACGAAAATTAATGATTGTCAACCTTTTTGTTTTCACATTAATTTGATTAACTCTATTTTCTCAATGTTAACCACAAAATTGATTAGTAATCAGATAATCTTTTCAGGATGAAATTCAGTTAATTGTCATGTTAACATTTTCATCATCTTCCTTGTCTAATCAACAATTAACACTCAAGGTTGATCATCAGAATTATTTAAATTAATCAATAATCAGCAATTGTTTTTCATGAATTAAATTCTTAACCAATTAGATTGTAGTTTTGTTTGATTTTATTACAAAACAATTACAATTACAACTTCTTCTTAACATAATCAACATATTATCAATCAGTTTCACGAGACTCAATTAATTTCAATCAATTAACTTTCGTCACAATTTAAAGTGTAAGATCATATTCAAGGTTAACCTGTAACAGTTAATTGTTTCATCATTGTAATTAGATATAAATGTAATTAATAACAATTTAATTTACTTCGATTAAATCATTATACCTTCAAGTAATTAACTATTGTTTTCAAATTTAAAAAAAAAAGGATAAGTAACAAGTAATCACAATCAACAAATTGACTATTATTATTATTTGTCTATGGATAATAAATATTAGGAAAAAAATTGAGCTTTTCCATTGAAATCAAAGTTTCCACCAGAATAATTCATCATTGTTGTCATCATAATTAACTAATTGTTTACTAGGGAGAAAAAGGAGATTGAAGAAAAAAACATCAACACCATGATGAATTGAATCACAATTAGAATGAAAGAAAACGGAAGCAGAGAAAATATTAACAATAACATTACACTTAAACGAAATGTTTACAATTTGGAAAAATTTTCTATTCTTTTCTTGTTGTTTATCGTATTAGAGTTTTTTTTTGCATTCAATTTATAATAATAATATTAATCAGCATCATAGAAATTAATATATTTGTGTTCATGTGAGAATAACAAAATTAGTAGAAGAAAAGAAAATTACGTCAACGAAAAATGGAGCGAATGACGTTTTCTAAAGTACTCATTCATTCTTAGACTTCGTTATTGATCATCGTCATGATGATGTTCGTTAAGGGAAAACACAATTCACAGAATCTCAAGTAAAAGAATCTAAAAAAAACAATTGATTCTATTATGTCAACATGATCAACATGTTTACACTATCATGAGTTCCATGAGTTCATGATGGGGATAAATATTGGAAGTTGAAGAGAGAGAGAGAGAGAGAGAGAGAGAGAGTCCGGAAGCTTAAGAGTTGATGAAAAGATGCACTTTCGATATAAAATGAAGATTTAATTAAAATTCTGAAATCGGTTCCAATGGATTAAAGTTTCTATTCAATAGCGATGATATTATTTAAGATTATGGGAGATTAAGGATCAAGATTAGATACGAAATTTTGGATTTATTCAAGGTTAGAATTGAGATTTGTGAAACAATAAACGAATTAATTGTTTCAATCAGTAAATTCTCCTTATTTTCTTAACATTGTATGAGTAATGAGAAGAAAATAGCTATTAATACTTTTGTCTATTCTCTTTAATCTTTAATTTCTATTTTTAAACCAAAGTTCTTGACTTGGTGATTAGTTGTCTCGTTTTTTTTTGGGTTCCCACACTTTTACTTGGACTATTTGTCACTTTTGTTACCAGGCAATAAAATGGCGACAATTATTACTAATCAGTTTCTAATTGTGACTGATTTAGATTTGATTTAGACCAAGATATAATCTGAAAGTGGCTTAAACAATAATTAGTATTTGATTGCTCAGAGTTGTGATAAAATTTAATTAGTGTTTGGTGTTCATTTTGTAATGTAAACAAACACTAACAATTATCTAATTAATTGTGATGAAGAACAAAATGTAAACAAAGAATGAGAAACAAACTCTCCAATGACAAAGGAAAAAAAATGGAAATTCAAGTGGATTCAAGATGGCTGACAATCTATATGGTACATAAGGTTGACTTATAATCAATTCAGTAGTTGATCATTATCATCAAATTAATTAAAATCGGTTGATCCCCTTATTGGGTCTATAATTAAAGACTACAATAGATATCAATTGATAATCAACAATTCATTAAGATGATGAGTCCAAGTAAAGATAAAGATATTCACTATTAGTGTAATGAGAACAGTAATTAACAGGAAGAGAATTTAATAGATGAAGGAAAGAGAGAGAGAGAGAGAAAAGATATTCAATCATCACCAGACTGAGAAAATTGGTTATGGTTTCACCGAAGTAAGAAAAAAAACGCTGAGAGAATTTCGATTAATATTAGTGGAAATGAAAGGAAATAAAAGAAAAAACGAAAAATATTGGAAACTAATTGTTCCATCTTACCAAATTGAATAAATGTAACAAATTGTATCCCAATGATGGTGATTAATTAAAAGATGAATCTACTGTGTGTACACTAAAAGTCTTAAGGTGTCAATCAAGAAACAAGTAAATTGTTACAGTAAAATTAAAGTAATGATGATGATGGAGTAACATTGATTGTTAATTGTGGTGACTCTTCACTAGTGATTAAAATTAACTGTTCATTTAACCTTGAAGTTGATGTTTCTTTTTGTTGAATTAGATTAAAAAAAAAACATCTCACATTCATAATCCTATCAATATATTCACTACGATAGATATTCCTAATTGTTCAATTTAAATCAATTTCAAGGGTAACGATCACAGGGAGAGAAAGAAAAATCACAAATTATCCTGGAATTGGAATAAATTGAACTACACCGATTTCATGGTTTTCGTTTTTGGAATCGGAAAAGAGAAAAGAATAAAAAACAAAGAGAATTTTTTTCTTCTTCTTCTTCATTCTGATTGGCGGGAGAAAAGAAAAGAAAATGTAAAAAAGGGGAAAACATTTTCTTCTCTTTTTTTCTATTTAGATTTTTTATTCTCTTCATTTGTTTTCTTCTTTTTTTTTCTAATTAGAGGTAATCATTGTTTTCTTAATTAGTGATTAATTAACTTTGAGAAGTAAATTACGTGTGAATATTTTTTACTCTTTTTCTCTCAGTGAATAAAATTCCAATTTAAAATCAACTCATTTGGAGTATTATATGTGTGTTTTTTGGATTCCATGGTAATTGTGATTATATCAATTTAATTAAGTCTTTTGGGTAACTAATTAAAATTGATTTCATCTGATTTTTTTTTCTCTCTCTCTTTCTCTTTGGTTCTTCTTGTTGACATTGTGCTGTGTTTGGTGTGAGTAATTCCCTCAATTAGTGTTCTGATTGATCAGGGGAAAAAAATGAACAATAGATTGTGCATCGTACCCAATATATTGTGTGATTGTGTGTTTTTTTCTTGATTCACTATTGAGGAAATTGTTTATACTCATATCGTTATTACATTATCATCGTTTACACTGATTTATATCGATCAATACCCTGAATTTGCTATCATACCATCATATCAACAACAACAACTCGCTCTCTCTCGCAATCGGCAAGGTTAAGTAGTTAATCATAATTAATAAAAAGAGAGAGAGAGAGAGAGAGAGAAAGGAAAAATAAAACCAGAAATTAGTTTATATCAACATAGGAGAGATTAAAGTCTATGAAAAGTCACACATCATTTATGGTGGATTATCAGGCACGAGAAGAAACGAGGAAAACAGTAGCTAATCCAGATAATTAACAAAAAGAAAACAATAAGAACTCAAAATGATAAAGCTAATCAACTAATCAGTATAATTAGTTTCAAGCAATTAAAAAGCTGTGAAAGAAAATGAAGACAAGATGAAACTTACTTGGTGAATAGTAGATGATATTTGTAAAGAAGACACTGAATTTTGAACGATAAAGACTCAGAAAAATCACCAGCAACTCAGGTAAGTTTAAAATGGAGATAAACTTGGAGGAAAAGTGTCAATTGAACTAATTAGTAAATCATCTGATGGAAATTGATTAGTCCAATTTGAGTGATCACGATTCGGTTGTTAATAAATTATTGTTATTAATCTCGGTAAGAATTGGATGAAATTTAGTGAGGATTAATTTTATTTCTCTCTTTTTTCCACTAGAATACGATTTATTATTTAAATTGGACCAATTGGGATGACAACAATCAACTAATTGTGATGGAAATAAATCAAATGATACACAGTAAACATAGACAAAGGAAACAACGTTAAGAAAATCAATGTTAACTCGAGTTGAGCCAGAAAAAAAGTGAAACATTCAAACAACTCTGAACACGAGAGAGGAAGAGACAAAACATAGACAATTAACTGAGCAATTATTGGCAACAATTAACTCTCAAAATTAAAATTAACTACAACAGGAAGACTTGTCTCAACCTTTTGTGTATCCATTTGGTGTTAATTGTTAAAAGAAATAAAGTAACAATTAAGGAACCAGTGAGATAAACGATGATAACAATAAAAGGATTGAGATCATTGGAGTGAAGTGATTAACATGATTATCAGGGGAAATCACCAGTAGACATGAAAATTTACTCTAATCATTATGGAGTTAATTTGAATTGATTGATTAATTACCTCTTCTCTCGGTGTGCAATCGATAAAATCAGTTTTCAATTAATATTATTTTGTAATAGATTAGAAATTTAAAAACTAATTAACTTGAATTGTTATATAGCTATTATGTGATTGTCTTAATTGTTTCATCTCTCATTTGATTATATCAATTAGTAGATTATCTTGATTGTATTTACCTGAATATCATCAAGGATTTTCAGGATAAATTCCCAAGTTTTTATATTAATTATTGTAACAACTTAATAACAAATTAGTTATTATGGTTAACCTAATTGTTTGGTTGTTTTTAATTACCTCTGTAAATAATAATAATAATACAACAGAGACAAAATTATGATTGCAATTAAAAGTTTTCTTTTGATTATCTCATAATAATCATTGGAGTTAATTGTAAATCGGTCAAAGTCTATGCGCAGTTTAAATTGTTAATGGTTAGTTGATTAACTTGACTAAAGACCTAATTTCAAAGTTAATCAATGTAACCTACAATAAATGATTAATGATTAACTAATTTTCACATTGTCACAATTTACAAATCAGTTAATCATATTTATCGATGATAATTGTTGATTTGCAAATGAAAAACTTGTAAATTTTAAAATCTAATCCTGATCAAAGTTAATTGTTGCTTACCCATCAGCTGATAAGAAACGTTTAATTACCAATCGAGAGCCAATTGGAGTTGTAAGATCCATTGGAAACAATTAACTAATTTTAACAATTTAACATTTACAAATTGAGACAATTTAATGTGATCGTTGAAATTACAATTTTAATCATTGATGTTTTTTTTTTGCTACAATTTGGTAACAATTTAATTCAATGTTTGTGTTGGTTTGTTGGATTCAACTTTAAATGACTGATTGTTGTTACAAGTGTAACAATAAAAAGTTAATCATGATCATGATCAGTGTGATGATTAACGATTAGATGACAATGCAGGAGAGCTGAGACTGAATTGTCATGATCACAGTGATTTAAATTCAGTTTGGAAACTAAATCTACTTAATCATGATTAAAAGGAGCATTTAATTTTCACCTTGATTGTTGTTTCGGGACAATTAGCTATTTAAATCTAATCACAATTATCTTTTGATTTCAGTTTATTATTAAATCATGAAACTTAAAAGTTGATTCAATTGAATATCAATCTGAATACAATTCATTTAGATTAACATAATCGTCTTGTGATTAAATTTAATTGTTATTGTTTCCATTAATTTACGTCAACAATTAAGTATTTGGGGAAAAAATTTTAATTTTATTTTCATTTGATTAGCAATTAAAACTTGTTTTTCTAATTTAATTAAGAGCTTTGTTTATACGATAACAATCAAGGTTAATTGTAATCGTATTGTTTAATTGTTACACTAATTTGATTCAAATTAAATTTACTAATTGAAGTTTTCATAAATATGTTATTGTTTTAAATCAATATATTTGATTATGATTTAATTAAATGCTTTAAATGATTATCATTAATTATTGCAATTTAAAATCAACAACTCATAATCATAACAATTTAGTTGATGATTAGCTGATTAGATTTGAATAAAATCAAACAATCAACTGATTCCTATGGATTGTGATGTAACTAAATTAATGAAAATAATATTGATTGATCAACTTGAACTCTAATGATTAAGAGTAAATCTTTATGATTTAATCAACAATTAGCAAATCAAAGTATTTCCCTAATGATAACAATCAGTTAATTGACAATTAACAAATTGATTTGAAATCAAGTGCACAATTAACCATTTAATTTAATAGAAAGTTTTTTTTCAAACAATTAATAGTTTTAAACTTGGAAAATGAATTAACAATTAAAGACTAACCCCTTTAAGGCTTTACAATTAAATTAAAAGTTCATACAATTAACATTGTAATTAATTTTCTGTTAACCATTAAGATTAGTTAATTTTTATTCCTGATCCGGTCTGATTGCTTTTGATTAATTTGATTACTATCAAACAATTAACTATCAATGATAATTATGTAACTAGGCTATCATTTTGTTTTCAAGGTTAATGGTTTATTACCTTTCATCAATTAATTGTAATTAAGACAATTTGATTAAGTAAACAGGGCCAAGGGTTAACCTTTGGGCATTTAATTGTTACATTTAAAATCAATTGACCCAAATTTAGTTTCAAACCAACAATTAATTAATTATAACAGTTTCAATATTTTCACATAGGAAACTGTCATCACAATTAGCTTGATTGTTAACTCAAATTTTGATAATTAATTGTTGCAAGTTTAATATTGATCTCGATCAGTTATTGAAATAATTTAGTTAATTTTTAGCAATTAATTCAATAATTAGTGATGCAATTACAAAGTGTAAGCTAATTGCTAACCAAGGAGCTTTGATTGTTATCAACAATTTAATTATTTGCCCAATTAAAGTTTAAATCCTTGGTAAATAATGCGTTTGATTAACTAAATTAACTAATTGTAACTCATTCTGCCATCTAGGGTTAGCTAATTACAATTATCTTCCGATAATTAAGAATTGTAATTATCAGAATCAACTAAACATTGACAGATAGAAAGTAATTATTATAATTGATTAGATGAGTTAATTGTTTGATTTTTAATATTAAATATTAATAATAAATAGGAAATAAATTGTTTAATCTAATTGTTAACAATTGATTGAATTGTTGATCAAATATAATCAACGAAATGTTTCAAGGTTGATTGTAATCAAAGTAAATTGGCCATGAAAAATTTAACTAGATTGTTAATCGTTTAATCAACAATTTAATACCTTCTCATCATTTATGATTAACAATTTACAAGAAACACGCTTAATTTAATTGTTGATTAACCTTAATCCAGTTTAAAGTTGATTATTGATTAATCAATCAATCGGAAGGAATAACTTTCCTTAGATTATCAATTGAATTGAGCTGTTGATTAAATAATTAATTGTTTATCTAATTGTTATATACACACAATCACTTGAACTTGGACACAATTAAATACTAAAGAGAAACTTGTTAATGACAATCAATTAATCAACGGAAATTAATAAATTGTTAGCTTGGTTGAATTGTACTGTTGTTATAATTAACTTTTAAATTGCTATTTTTTTAAGTTAATTGTTAGCTGATTTTCATCATCAGTAACAAATGAATGATTAGTTAATTGTTTCAATTAACTAATTTCATTTACTATTATAAAATTGATTGATGAAAATTCATTAATTTGATTAAATCAACCATGATAATAAGAAAAAACCTCCAAGGTTAATCAACACAATTAAAACAAATCATAAGGTGTTGACAATTAACTAAACAAAAATATTGAGATTAATCAATTTCCGTTAGGATAAGACAATTAAAATATTATCTAGTTAATTAATGATGATGATGAGACTTGTTTACACTGATGAAACGGAAATGTCAATCTAATTACAATTAGCTGATTACAAGAATTAAGATAAGCGATTGATTGAGTTAATTGTAATATCTACTTGTTAAACAACCGATTGAGCAAGTGATTTACAATTAACTGATTACTATTAAGGGGTTTAAGTATTTACGATATCATTCATAAAATAATTGATCAAATTTAGTTGATTAAATTGTTTGATTAGTTTGTCAATCAAATAGTAATAGTATTTACAATTAAGTAAATAACAATAAATCAATAACCATTGAGAGAGAAATTAATTTAATTGTAATTAGTACTTACGTTAAACGTTCAGTTGAATAGCTATCAAATTTACGAAGCATGATGATGATAAACAATTAATTGATTGTCTCCAATTAAATGAAATAAAATACAATCCAATGTATCAGTAAGTTAATTGTTGTATAATAATATTTCACAATTATGATCAGTAATTAATAATCACTAAATTATTATCCTTATGGTAAAAAAAAGTTGCAGTTACAAAGTTTGATGACAATTAGTAAACAACGATTAGTTGATTGTTCATTAAATTATATGTATTATATATTATGATTAACAATCGAGTGACTATTTAACTGTGATCTTTATACAACTACAACTTATTATAAACTGAATTAGTAAATTGCTTCAATATGATATTAGTTAAGAAAATTAAATTGTTGTCGAGGGAGATGGTTGATATTATTTTATATTGTCGACAGAGAAATAAGTTAATTGCGACAGGGATGATGATAACTAGTCTCAGGATGATGATTGATGTGTTCAAAGCTTATTGTGAATGTCAGCAATCTGTTGATTGTAACAATCAAATTAGATTCAATTTAAACCACTAAAAAGCTATTAGCCTTTTGTTATCCATAAACAGTTATCTCATTGATTCATTTGATAATCAGAGGGAAGACAAAGTTGTTGACTTGTTTTAATAATAATCTTAATCATGATTATCAACTGAATTAAGATGAAATTGTTTCTATTTGATTAACTAATTGCTCTCTAATCACAGGGTTTAAATTGTTTCATTTACAATTGAATTAGTTTGGACAAGGTTGCTAATTGATCGTTCAGTTTGTTTGGTATGATTTTTTGTTTTCTTCATTGAAACAAATTGTCTTCAGATTTGTTTTAATTGTAACAATTAACGTTAACTTGTAAATGTTTTTTTTCAGACAATTTTAATTTAATAATCATCATTTTCAATGAAATTGAGACAATATTATATTATAACTAATTAGGTAAATTAGGTAGTACAGTTAATTAGTGATTACTTTCAATTTTGTTTGTGAAAGTCTTTGGTATGAGATCGGGTTAATTAAGGATTGTAATTGTTAATGACAGATGATGAAATTGATTAACATTTTTTAATTGTTATTGATGATTTACTGTCTCTGTTATTGTTATTATCATTATCGTTGATTGTCAAGTCTTTTCTAATTGTGTTGATTAACAGGTTGGTGAATGGTTTGTCAATTAGAATTGTGAAAATAAAGGAAATCAGGTAAGTCTCTACTACCATTGGAATACCATAGCTAAACAGGAGAGTGGACAATGAGAAGTTAATTAGTGACCGTTGGGTTGAATTGTTTAATCGGACAATTAGGAAATTGGCGAAAAGTGCATTTAAATTAACTCGGGATAGAACGGCAAGAAATCGGGATGAGAGTATATTAGATAACCAGGACCAGGTAAGTGAAAAATGGCAACTATAAATTAACCAACCGATGATAATTGACCACAACAATCGGGAGGTTGACCCATAGAGTATGGTCAATGATCGGTTAATTGTAATTAGGTTAATGTTGATGATTATCTCATAGAGAAAAATTGTAGAGATCGAAAGCCAGAAAATAAACCAACCATAAGGAATTAGTTTCTATGTGAATATATTTACAGTTAATTAATTAGTGGTGAGAGAGAAAAAAATACAGAAAAGATAATAATAATTATTAGTTTAACAACAAATTAGAAATGCAAACAATTGCAGAATTAGATCAATAATAATCAAGATAATTTGGTTATATTGTTGACCAATATATCCTTGTTTACTTTTGTATTAACACACTCAAGGTTTTTTTTTACCATGATTGTTTCAATTAACTATACTAATCTAATCAATGACGATGATAATTAAAACCGGATCAAATAATAATAATAATATAACACTCTTATTGTTGATCTTTGTCAATCATTTTTGGCTTAGGTTGAAATTGAACATAACCATTACCACTTATTGGTTAATGTCATGTTAATTGTGACTTTAAGATTGTGATTAATGATTAAATTGATTACTTACCTTGTTGACTTTTGGTTTATCTGAATTTAGGACCAATGCGAGGATAACACCCATGAAATAAGGGCTCACATGAGCCCATGGTTTGGAGTGAATGTAAACAAGATACTTGGTAAATTGATTGGAGAAAAAGTTAGTTGGTAACCATGAAGTTTGAACATCATATTTAATTGTAATCAATGTGGTGATTGTGATTCCAACAACGATGATCAGGATTGAATTGACTATCGATAGAATTGGTTTATCGGCTAAATAAGGTTTCAGAATGATTATAAATATTATGGAATAGATGAAATCTACTTCGAGATACCAATCGGCTAGAAGACAAGTTTTCAAATTTTCTGGTGTATTGAAATGATGAGCAATCAATAAGAGATGATTAAACCACGTGGATGCACAAGTTGATGAAATCGATGAGGCCGCTTGTAGATAATACCAAAAAGGTCCACCAATCAGGACTCTAAAGTGATCTGAGAAAACGATTATATAAACACAGATAAACCAACCGACGGTAATTGAGAATCGAAGCCAACGAAGTAAGATGAAGGTTGGAAATGAGACTAATGATGATAGAGATGATGGCGATTTATCCATGAAAAAGGTCATCATTTCCAAGCCACCGACTAGGAAAAAAGTTTCCAGGCTACTTGGTCCAAGTAGGATTCCAAGTCCAATTGGATTAACCAGCGTCGATGGAAAAGCGAAAAGATGATTGAAACTATTGTAGATAAATCCCCAAACAATGTGACCGCAGATTAAGTAGGCCATAGTTAGAGTTTTAATTCCTGCAAGACAAGTGACAGGTGACCTTTGAACGGGTGATATTGTTTTCGTCAAATTTTGGAAAACATTAAAATGTCCAAGTAAAGGAGTTGAAGGTAAAAGTGTACCAATTATATTGGCACAAATAACGAAAACAATTATCGTTACTACGATAATCTCATGTTTCAACCATGGAATTGATTCTGAATGAGTTTGACAAATGTCAACAGAAAACTGTAATCCCGATTGGTGTTTATTAAGAGCTGATCGAAGGAGTAAATTAAGTTCATTGGTTGAACATCCTTGAGGTAAACAAAGTCCAGTTGTTATGTTCATTTGAATAAAGTAGTGACCATAAGATGAAATCAGCTGATTAAATGAAGAGTTAACAGGAAGATTGTCCGTTAATGGACGGAAAAAACCCTCGTACTTTCGGGTTCGAGGTAAAGGTACTCGACTGTTGACCAAACAATATTGACTCGAAGGTAATGATAAACACTCATCGAAAGCACCTAAATTTGTCCATGAACCTTGAAGTAAACCAGAAGGTAATCCACCTGAAGAATCAATCACTATAATGGAAGATTAAATTACGTTAATTGGTGGAAAATTAATTGTTACAATTATCAAATTACTCACTTTGAACAGCATTTAAATCAAATGATTTAAGTTGTTTAACATAGTTTACAATTGATTGTCGACAATCAGTTGAAATGTTACTCGTTACCAATATCGAACCATAATTAACTTCAATCTCATTGATCCAATTAGTTAACCAATTAGAAGTGAAATTTTCAATTCTAGACCAAGAATTGTTATCCAGTGGAACGACATAATTTAAATTGTTCACAATTAAAAGATAAATTATAAGATTAATTGGAATCATTGGTAAAGATTTGATTTGGTTAATCAACTAGGTTAAAATATCGTTACAACGATGTTAATTATTGTGGTTTACAATTTGCTAACTTAATCAAACGAAAGGTTTAATTGGTAACTAATAGAAAGTTAATAACTTAAATTAAGAAATTGATTAAGGTTTGGTTGAATCATTAACTTTGGTTAATTACAAATTTCGTTCAGCCCTTATGACGTTGATTAAACTGAGATTGAAATGATTTAGATTGTTGATTGATTTAAGTTTTAAAATTAAAGTTTTTTACGTAGTTTGTGTCATTGATTTAATTCCTTTGATAAATCTTTGGCCCCTCTAGCAGATTAAATCGATTAGTCTCTAATCATCATGATTAATTACGAATCAATGATCGAGTCTGATGGTCACAAGGCTTTTTTACTCATGGAAATTTAATCATAATCTCAATCTATATTTATATCGAAAACTAAATCAAACAAATTAATAGTTACCTGTTTCTTTTATCCTTCAAATGAAGTAATAAATGTCCCTCTTTGTCAAGTTAATATCAGGTAATTAGTATTTAAGATTAGAATCTCTCTCAACAATTGAAGATGTTTGTATTTCCCAATTTTGATGTTGATGAGCTCCAATGGAATTAAATTAAATTGTGCAACAGCAATTATGATGTTGAAATCTCTCTCATCGGTATAAGTTAAGGTACTGGTCAGAGAGCTTGACAATTTGCTTGATTGTTGCGACATGGAACCAGAGAGAGAGACAAAAAAAAATCCTTTAAATTTGGTTGGTTTTAAGATGAAAATTGAATTGATACAATTAGCAGGATAATTGATAAATTTACTTTAACGATCCAGGTAAATTTCAAGGTAGTTTAGTATTTGCTTCATCTTTTTGCCACTTAATCATCACACAATCAAACCGTTATCAAGGTTGTTGACAGCTTCATGGTGTTAATTGAACGGACAACTGATCATTTCAATTGATTGTGACTTTCAAACACAAAAATTGACCTTCATCAAAGTGTAAACATCATTTACATACAGTAGCAGTTACATGATTCCCTGTAAGGCAAAGATGATGAAGATGATTAGACAGATTGAATTGGAAATATGAAGAGAAAATATCTCTCTATCAATATAATAGTATTACTGGAGTATTTTCAACACTTACCATTGACATTGTGTTGACATTTAATTGTAGAGAAACAATCAACTGTCAAATTAACCTGAAATTAATTGCTATTCATTGGCACCAGAATTAAATATTGTTGTTAACTTGTTCAAGATTGTTGACATTGGCGATTAACCTTAAACAACTCAGGAATCAATTAATTTGTTATTTTCTAGATGTAAGATAAAAATAAAATAACAACAAATTCTAATCATCTTCTTGTCATAAACAATCAGAATTCATTTTTCAATTAGGATAACAATTAAATCTCAATAAATTTACCTGAACAATGGCACCAAAATGTTGTCATTAAACTAATAAATTAAAGTCTCACTATAACAAGTTAATCAGTCGAAGAATCAATTGTTGACCATTTAGACGTTTAATTGTTGTAACAATTAAAATTATTAGAAAATTAGTAACATTGAGAATCTTAATCACGAGAAATTAATCAACGTTTGACTTTGAGAAAATAAAAACAAACGAATTCAAACCGGTCGATTAATCGATTAATCGATAACCCGAACATGTGATGTTTACTTTTTTTCCGAATGTTGGTCAACTTTTGATCTCTTTTAATTGATTTAATTTCTTTGATCTTAAAATTTGATTGAATTACTTTTTTTTGCAATGGGATTTCTCTTGAAATTAGGATCATTTGTGGTCATTGGATGTAGTACTTATGGAGCGATTTACTTTGGACAGTAAGTTAAATCAATTACATTCTCTTTCTCTGTGATGATGTTTTTACCTTTTGATTGTTTTGTTTAATTTTGTTTATTTTGTTATTTTCGTCAATAGTCAAGCTCTTGTCCCAGAATATAATGGAAAAGAAATTCTGACTGGTAAAACTGTTCTAATCACTGGTGCTACTTCTGGAATTGGTAAATCAACGGCCATGCAATTAGCTAATAGAAATGCTAAAGTAATTCTTGGTTGTCGAGATCAAGATAAATGTATTTGGACTAGAAGAGAAATCGTTGAAAAAACGAAAAATGAACAAGTTTTCTGTTCTCTTCTTGATTTATCTTCTCTCCAATCAATCAATGAGTTTGTCCAACGAATGAAATCAAGTTAGTTTCAATTCTATCATGATGATTAACCTCCACACTAATCAATTTCCATTCTCTCTCTCTAGAGGAGATTAATTTTGATATTCTAATCAACAATGCTGGTGTCATGAGATGCCCACAAACTTATACTAAAGAAGGATTTGAGATGCAATTAGGAGTTAATCATTTGGGTAAGTAGACCATTTTCGTGTTTCAATAACAATAGACAATCATTTAATCCATTTTTTCATTCCATACTATCAATAGGTCACTTTTATTTAACTCATCTACTTTTAGATGATTTAATCAAGCAAAAGGCTCGGATTATCAATGTAACTGCTTCAGCTTATAGAAAGGAAAATTAATCTTGATGATTTAAATAGTGCCCAAAGTTATAATCCAACACACGCTTATAATCAGTCTAAATTGGCCAACATTTTGTTCACCAAGGAATTAGCATCTCAACTTCAGGGTTCGGGGGCCTATGTTTATGCCGCTGATCCCGGAGCCTGTAATACAGATTTAACTAGGCACATGTCGATTTCCAAATCAATATTCGGCAGGGTATTAGCTAAACCTTGGTTAAAATTACTCGGAAGATCACCTAATAAAGGATCTCAAGTAATCGTCTATTGCGCTCTATCCCCTGAATTAAGTAATGACCAAGCCAGTGGAAAGTTATATCAGTAAGTTAAATGGAACAGATAATTTGAGAATTGAAATTCAATCTAATCCTTTGGTTTTTGTTTTGTTTTTCTTAATCAAATTAGTGACAACAAACCAGTCGACTTGCTGCCTCACGCTCAAGATGATATTATGGCCAAAAAGCTTTGGTTGATTAGCGATCGATGGACAGTTAATCGAGATAAACCATCCAATATCAATGTAGTTAACAATCAAACGGAACAATCTAATCAAGTGGAAAATTTATCACCATCAACTATTGTTCAAGATCAGATAACTAACTGAAATGCCATGGAACTTTTTTTTGCTACAATCAATTAGTTTAAATTTAGTCAGAAATAAATGTGATGAGTTTTGAATGAATTTCATCACTGAGAAATCAAATAACGAGATGTAAATTCTGTAACTAGACAAAATTTGTAATAAAAATAATCTTAATAATCTCAGGTCATGTTTTTAGGTAACAATTGACATGAATTTGGGTCCAATTTTCTCCATGAAATATTCCATTTCACCTGAATCAAGGTAAGATTTCATGTCGACAATTAAGCTCTTCAAAACTGTAGAAAAATCAAAAAGATGGAAATTAATTTCTCATTGAAATCCAAGATGATACAACTTACTTTTCTCTTCATGATCTTCAAGGAAAAGAATCAGAGTTTGGAATCTTTTCATTTTCGACAGTTCATACAACAGTCTTGATCGAAAGGGAATATCAACACATGAAGTAAGTATCTTAAGAATATCACAGAAAATTTGAGGTTCCATCGAATTGGTGAAGATTTTTCCCAATTTAACTGATCCAATATTAGAAATGTAAGTTAATTTACTTGAATCATCATGAAGCTCTCGCCAATCACAATAAAATTCAAAACTGTTGACAGGTATTCTATTGATGACCCTTGTTGACACTGGAATTTGTTTTGGTTTTGATCGTATCTTAAGGTCACTTGTCTTTGAAGTCGCTGAATCAAATTCTGTATCGAAATCAATATTTACTCTGGAATCGGGATCAAGATCATCGATGATATGACTTATCCTATGGATTTTACTCTGAACCTCTTTGAGCTCTTTTGGTGCTTGTTTATTGTTCGGTTCAAGTTGAATTACTTTCTCAAAATCAACTGCTGCCTTTTCATATTCATGTAACAATTTAAACGCTGTTCCTCTCCTCAGGTAACCCTTGACATAATTAGAATCCAATTTTAAAGCACAATCACAATCTTCAATCGCTTCTTCAGGTCTATGGATAAGAGAAACAATTGTTATAGAAAATTACAAATTCAAAGGTAAACAAGTTTACCTGTTGAGATTCAAATAACTCTGAGCTCTGTTTCCAAACAGAAGATGATTTTCTTTATCCAATTCAATCGCCTGCGAGTAACATGAGACAGCACTTGAATAATTGCCCATTTTGAAGAAACGGTTACCCTGAGGGAAGAAAAGAAATTGGAAAAGAGAAAAGAATAAAAAAAAATCCAAAACAAATGAAGATTCTTCAAATCATCACAATGGAAGAAAATTTCACTCACCTCTTCCTTTTTTTCCAAGGCTTTTGGATTAGACATTTTCCCACAAATCGAACCTCTAATTGATCGAAAAAGTAATTAACTAAATTCACTAAGAATTAAGTAAATTAAACAAATAGAATCACCAAAAAGTTAACTGTCAACAAAGAGAAATGAAAAGATGAAAATTTATTCACTCACATGGCGAATCCATGGAAACCGCGAAAAAGAAAAAATTCAAAATTTCGATTTTTGTTCGAAAAAATATTTCAAAGTTTATTTTCGTCGAAATCGAAAAGTACAATTGGAAAAAAATTTCAATTCTTAACAATTGAATTGATGTTCCAAAATTCATTTAAATTTTCAACCAGTAGATTAACTTGATCGTCACGAGTATCCGAATGGTCTTCGATCAACTTGATTAGTTGATTTAATTTTCCTTCCAAATTGGACATTATCACTTTTGGTTCTATACCTTCGAGTTTATAATAATCGAGGTAAAGGTCAGTTATCAGTCCATAAAATCGTTCCAAGTTAAATTGTACCGTTACAAATGGACTGTAATTAGTTTCGATCTCAATTTCTATCGATGCAGCGATCTCTGGTTCTACAATGTGTAAATCTTTGATTGCTTCTCGAATTAGATTAACTTTTCTCTCGTTAAGTAATTGTTTCAATTTAGGAAATAATTTACTAATTGTAGCACCTAAACATCTATAATTAACTTTGATATTAATCTCTATTGGTATTGATCTTTTGGTCGCTTCTCGAGTGACAAAATCTTTAACAATTGAAATTGTCGATATATTATCCGATTGGAAAACAATTGAACCTTTGTAAAAATTAACAATTAAAAAAGTTTCCATTAGAGTTGATTGAAAATTATATTCAATTGAAGATGAAGCAATTAGATCAATTCGCTCCGGAATCTCAGGTAAACACAATTGAAGCCAATTTAAACTCTCAGTTAATCCAAATGAACCATAAATATGAAGATTATTAATATGAGTCATTAATTGTTCATCGATTCGATTGTAATTTCGTTTATGTAATGACAACGCTTTAATCTGGTACATTTTCATTTGGCAACTTTTCGGGTTCATTTGGGTTAAGATATAAACACGAACGATACCCGATTGACCTGAAAGAAAACAGAAAGATCACCAATCAATAGACAATTAAGGTGATGTGATCATTTGGTAATTACGAATTTGTACCTTCGATTGTTTTGATTTTCGTCTCGAATCGAGTTGCATTAACTTGACATCGAAATGTGGCCAAAACTTGTTGACTCGAATTCTCGTTTAGACTTAGAACCGATGAGTTCCGTTCTAAATCGATAAGTTCGAGGGAAAGTTCACTTTGGATAATGACCGAATCAATAGAAACCTCTGATTCCAATGTTAAGAGATACGAGGCATCTAACGGTTATATTGATTATCGATTAATTGACCTGATTTATTTTAGTAAACATAATTAATCAAATTCTTACCTTGATGGAGCACAAATGAATCGTTAATTGTGAAATAAGGTAAAGTTGAATAGGTTAGACTGTTTTTCTGTTTCTTATTAACAATTAGCCCTGAGGTTAAATTCTGATAAAATTCACGTTTACGAGTTAATTTTTTCTCTAACCAACTAATCTCACTATTTAATTGTCCAATTTTCTGTTCAATATCACGATTAATTATCATTGATGATTGTTCTAACTGACCATTAGTTTGACCAATCATTTGGTTTCTAGTTAATCCAAAAATTAATCCAGTAAAAGTACAGCAAAGGATTAGTGATCCTTCACGACAAATACAAATTGAAGTTAAACTTTCACCACAATTAAAGTCTATTGATTGAACTGGACTTTGGTCAATATCAACCTGAAAATTAGATGAATTAAAATTCAATATTTCGGTTAATTGGTAAGTAATTAAATTGATTAGTACCCACAGTTAAACTACCATTAGGTTCGAGTGTTTCATTGAAAGACCAAATTTCAACGGAACCATCAGATCGTCCAATGTACAACTGACCAGTTGATTCCAACATGGAGATACAATTAACCGATGAACGAAAACCTTTCTCAGGGATTGACCATTTATGGACAGAATTGACTTCGTTCAAACCAAACTCCAACGATATTAAGGCCACTTTACCTTCCAATGTTCCATAGAGAAAATTAACCTCCGACACTTTAGCTGACCTTTCAAGGGCCAATAAAACATTAGGAACACCACAAGTTTCGAGTTCATATCGACAAGTCGAATTGTTCAAAATTCTTATCAATCTATCTTCACATGAAATGAGTGGAACTGAAAAAGAAAAACCGAAACAAAAATTCATAATTGAAACAACCAAATTACTCAATTAATCTCCAATTACCTGATCGTTTTCCAATCGAATTGTAAATCACAATTAATCCCGTTATTTTACTCGGAGAGATGTAGAAATGTTTTGATTGAATATTATTGTTACAATTTTTACTATCAGTCCAAGTATCGGGAGTCAGAACGTAATGATTATAAATATAATAACCACAAATGTAAACATCAATGGGCCAAATAATTTGGAAATACTTGATTGGTTCAGTTAAATTGTTTAATTGTAAACTGAAATATTGTTTACCTTTACCGGTATAGCCACGAATCAATGAGGAACCAAAAGTGATTAAAATTTTAGGTGAACCGATTGGATCTCGAGTAACTTGGAGACAATTAATTTTACCATTGGGAACAGGTAATGTTTTAAATATTGTATTGATTAAGGTCGAGGAATCAGAACGAAGAGAGAAACAATTAATTGCTCCAGAATGATCACCAATCACGGCGATTACAGTTAAATGAGAATCAGATGATCCTGGACTTAAGGCTTTCAATGTATTTTGAGAGGTTAATCCAACCTGAAGATAATCAATTCGGTTTAATTTTACCTTATAATTCATGATTAACTGATTAAATTCATTGGATACACTGGATCTTTGGTTGTGTTAAAGTTAATTAAGTTGTATATTTTTCTTATTATTTTGAAATGATGGACAAATATTATTATTATTATTATATTAATAGTGTCATGGTTACTTAATTTATGGACATGGACAACAACACAATCAAGTCAATTGTTAATGTACAATTTGATTGTACATTCAGTTAATCAATATTTGTCGTCACCTTATATTCACAGTTTTTTATTAGACATTCACGTAAGTTAATATCGTTACTTTTGATTACTTACAATCAACAAGTTCACTTGGACTTAACTATAATTAACTGTTGAACAATCAACTGTTCACTCTCAATACAATTGATACAATTAAGATTAAAAAATAATGATCAATTTCACTTTCTCATCAACTGAACAGTAAAAAATGTCTCAATTTAAAATCTTCTAATATTTATATTGAAATTAATTCTCTTGAAGTTTTATTAATAATTTTGCTCTAAAAGCCACCGATTAACTTTAATTACTTTTCTCTCTTATTCCTAACAATTAAACTTGAACCTCTGAAGAGTTTCAAATTAATGACATTCAAACTAATAATAAACTTCAAGATCGCCCAAAAAATTAAGAATTTAGTCAAATCATTTGAATGAAGAACAGTTAACAATCAATTAATCAGATCGATCAGACAAAATATCATTTTCCATGAACATTTCGATTAAGTTTCCAAAGATAAATATTAATATTTGGAAAGAATAAGAAAAAGTTCAAAAAAAGAGAATTTAAGTTGAGAAATTGGCCGAGAGATGGCGATGCGATTTTCTCTTCAGGTTCAATAATCTTTTTTTCTTGATGTTTATTTTCATATCAAATTAACCGTCTTTTTTATTCATAATTTCTTTGTCTTAATTAATTTATAATAACACTATCACCATGATAATTGTCGTGAAAGTGAACTGGTTAATTGACTTTTGAATCGTTGGCCTTTGTTTTCAATAATTGAAAGTGAACTTCCCTTTGGTGTGAGTTCATCAAAAATTATTTTGGCAAAAGGAAATCTTGCCAAACCATGAAGGAGATGGTGGGTGGATGTTGTGTCTGTAGTGATGAACGAGGATGGACCGAGAATCCTTTGGTCTATTGTGATGGTAATCAATGTAGTGTCGCTGTTCACCAAGCTTGTTATGGAATTGTTCAGGTGCCCACTGGCCCCTGGTTTTGTCGTAAATGTGAGAGTCAAGAGAGACAGGCTCGAGTAGTAAGTGTTGTTTATATTTCTCTTTCCTTTCTCTCTCTCTCTCTCTTTATTTCTCTTTCCTTTTTTTCTGCTTCTCTCTCTATCTCTTTAGAATTTACTTTTACTAAAAGAAGAAAGGAAAATATATATACACAAGGTGATGAGAAAGATAAATTTCCTTCATGAATTTCTGGTTATGTATCTCAACCCAGAGCCGAGATGATCACCGCCATTTCTTACCTTTCATCTTTATATAGATTCTTTTTTTTATTCACTTTCTATTTTTCTTTTCTTCTTCTTTCATAATCAATTAGCTTTTCTTTTATTACTGCTTTTGACAAAATCTCTGATTACAACAAAATATTAGGCTATTTATTAGTATTCTCATGAGGTTAAAGTTTTTATCTCTTAACACTTGATACTTTTACCGATTTTCTTTACCTCTCAATCATCTGACTTTTTTCTATTAATTTGAAAATTTTTCTTTTTCACCTTTAGCGATGTGAACTTTGCCCATCCAAAGATGGTGCTCTTAAAAGGACAGATACCGGTGGATGGGCTCATGTCGTGTGTTCCCTTTATATCCCAGAAGTCCGATTTGGTAATGTGTCAACCATGGAACCGATTATTTTGGCCTTAGTGCCCCCTGACAGGTTCCATAAGACATGTTACATTTGCGAGGAACAAGGAAAGGAGAGTAAAGCTTCAATAGGAGCTTGTATGCAGTGCAATAAACCTGGATGTAAACACCATTTTCATGTAACATGGTTAGTTCATTTATCGTCAACATTTACTCAATTTCATTTCGAAGATTATATTATTCATTCTGCTTTTTTCTTTCAAATCATTCATTCAGTGCCCAAGCCGCTGGTCTCTTATGTGAAGAGGCTGGAAATTTTAACGACAATGTCAAATACTGTGGATATTGTGCTTATCATTATCAAAAATTGGTGAGCTCATTTCATTTCATATCAATTTGGTCTTTGGTTAAGATTTTCTATTAATTAATGAGCTATAATCTTCTGTTGATCACATCTCATTTTGGTCATTTTGAGTTGTTCTTTTCTATATTATATATAAATTTCGTTCTTCTCTACTGATACAATTCTCTTTCCTTTTTCTGCTTCTGTCCCATTTAGATTGAGAGATGTGATAGCTGTTATTATTTTCTCTCTATATTCTCTCTCTCTCTCTCTCTCTCTCAAATTCATATTTCACTTAGATTCTAATTTTCTTTGTACTCGCCTCTTCTTTTTTCTTTCAGAAAAAAGATGGTTCAAATATTAAACCCATTCCTGCATTTAAGCCAGTTCCAGTTACTGAATCAACTCCTGAGACTAGTCCTGATAAAAAGATTGCAGGTCAATCGGGAATATCATCATTAAAACCAACATCACCCAGTGAAGTATCCAAACCACCAAAAAAGAAAGTGTCCAAGCCTCTTGGTTCAAATTTATCTACCTCTTTGGTTGCTGGTTCTTCAACTATCAACAATTTACCAAGCAATAATCCGGGATCATCTAATAGTCTAGGTAAACCTAACCTCACTATTAATCCTGAAATTTTAAAATCGAGACACGAATCTTATGGGTTAACTGATAATGCTGTTGGTCCTACTTTTCCAGGCTCTCGTTCAAGCACAGGAGGAGGAGGAGGTGGAGATCATGGTTCAGATAATAAATCTAATAAAAATGAAAGGAAAAAAAAGAAATCTTCCCAATATGTAATCTCATCAGCATCTCAATCACCGGCAGGCCAATCCAACTCTCCTAATCCCGTTATTAACAATCATCCAAAGGAATCACTAGCTAATCACTCATCTTCTCAAGCTTCATCTCCTAATCCAACCCCTAGTTTCACAGCAATGTACGGAAGTCTTACAGCCAAAGAACCCTCAACATCATCTTCAGGTGAAAAGAAAGAGAAATCTAAACGTGAAATTGAAGATGATTCATCAACAGAAACAGAAGACGATGAAGAAGATAAACCGCCGATTCCAAAAAAGATGAGAAACTCAACGGCAGCTGAGAAAAAGATGAAAAAACCACTCGCTATTCCAAAGTAAGCCAATCATAATGATCGTAGTATTTTCGCAAATACAAGTATTTAGTATCCATTTTTGTTACCTTTTAAAACGCTTCTCACCCTTTTCCTTAGATGCAATAAAACACCCAAAGTAACCCAAAAGGATGCAATTAGCGCCAAGAAAACAAAGAGAAAGAAAGACGATATTCTCAAAGAGATTAATACAGATACTGAACCGTATGTTGTTAACTTTTAACCGCCTTTCAATCAATTAATATTTTCCAATTGTTCTCATATCGAGAATCCCCTCAATAATTAATTCTATTTTGTTCCTCATCAATTATTGAATCGTCTTATATTTCTCAGGGATCGAAGTGCAACCGAAAAGCCTTCAAATGTTGCAAAAGCAATAACAGAAACTCAAACCAGTTCAAAAATTACACCTCCTTCAAGTGAGGTATCACCTGCCACTGTTACATCCTCAGCACCCAATGGCCATGCCTCTCAAACCACTCCGCTTACAAGATCTCCCATAACCAGTGTTGTGAAAGATTTTGCATTACCAGCACCTCCAACCAAACCTAAGCAAATTAATGTGCTCAAAGAGTAAGCTTTTCATTTGTTTCCATTGTTTTAATTATTATCGTTTGTCTGTTTGTTTTTTCTTCAAGTGTAAATTGTCAACAAAGTCACAAAGTTACTAATTATTAGTATTTGTATCTCTCATCATGACCAGACCTTTACCTGATGGACCTCAAACTTTAGAACAATTATTAGAACGTCAATGGGCTTCAGGAGCACAAATGATTATGGAACAATCTCAACATTTTGATGTCGCTTCTCTTTTATCATGTTTACATCAATTACGAAGTGAAAATGAGAGACTTGAAGAGAAAGTTCGTCACCTTGTTGCCCGTCGAGATCATTTGATTGCGGTTAACTCAAGATTATCTCTTCCACTTAATGGATCTCTTAATCCACCACTCACTTCAATTGGTGGTTTTTCCAACCACAGTTCAGCCATTTCTCAAAATGGATCAGGAAATTCAGTTTCAAGTTCGCCTTTAAGTTTCCCATCAAGCAATTCAGGAGCCAATCCCTCACCTCTCTATGATAATAATAAAAGTCCTCGTACAAGTCCAGCATCGAATTTACCTAATGGATCATCAGCTCGTGCACCAAACCATATTTCAACCAATGGTGAAGTTACTGGTTCATTACCACAGAATTATAACAATTTGCCTCCACAATTTAACATGACGGATCCTCCGACGGAAAGTCCTTTTTATCAGATGATGAATGCCGCTCAACAGCAGAATACCCCAAATTTCCAACACCCTCTATTCAGAGGTCCAGATAAAAGATAACTAATTCTCACAAATGGTACAAATTCTGAAAAAAACCTCATCTTACCTCTAATTTCATTATTAATATCATCAAAATAACAAACAAAATCCACCTAAATGTCTTTAATTCATCCATAAACATGCTCACCTTTTCATCTTTGTTGCCAACAATTTGACTTAAGATTAGGTAACATTGACTATTTATTGACCATCCTTCATTCATTGACCAAAACTCTAATTCCAGATAGTTCCTATTTTATATATAGAGTATAAAAGACTACAATTTATGCATAAACTTATCTCTCTCTCCCTCTCTCAACATGTTAACAATTTATCTTTAAGATAATTTTCCCGGTTTAAATCTCATTTCTTTTCTCACATCAACACTTAACAGCAACAATCATGACAATCTCTCCTAATTTTATCATCCATTTCCCCTTGTACCGATAAAATGATATTCTGTTTGTATCTTCGGTGACTGTGAGCAATTGGACCTGTTGATGCATTAGACTTGCGACTCATTGGACAATAATAAGGACTAATATCGTTACAGTTACATCATATACACATGACCATTTATTTGAGGAAAATACAACTGAAAGCGAAGCATAAGCGAAAAAGCCAGAAAGCCGATTCGTTAGGAACCACAATTCTGAACAACGATACCCAACCGATAGGAATTTCATTTCATATACGATTGAAATATAAAAAGTTATTTCGCTGATTGAAATGATGTCCCGATTCAATTAATTTCGAAGTCATTTTATATCTCTCTTTCCCTCTTGATTCTTGTAAAATCCCACCAACAATTAACTTATTCAATCATCGAGATTATGTTATATGCGAAAACGAATTGAGTCAAAATCGTAAACACATTTGTGCTTCCCAAAGACAAAAACGATTAACAGAAATTAAGGAAAAAAATCACAATTAACCAAAGTTTGTTTCTAAATCATCTTCATTATTGTAAGAAAACCATCTCTCTCTATTTCTCTCTCAGATCCCTTACTCTCACTCACGAATGTAATTTATTAATATTAATCAATCAGTAAGGTATTGATCATTTTCAACGACAATTAATATAAAATCGTTTTGAATTATGATTTAACGCGAGATTGAAAGTTCCGTTACTTTAATTGCAATTTTAATTTCTATCTCCTTGCAACAATTAACATAAAATACCTCATGAGAGAAATACTATTGTATCAACATGAATCAACTCCTTTGATTATTAATTATGTTTAATTAATTTTCAAATCTATTCCATTTATTCAGTTGAGACCAAATTTTATCATGAAAAAAAATGTAATTTAATTCAAGTTTTAAACGATTTTAAGGAAAAATAAGATTGTTAAATAAAATTTGCTTATAATATCAAATCAACCAGAGTTAATTATCAATCAATTCAACAACAATTAATAGATTATTAGTTAATTCTTATTTACACAATGAAACCGAATTAAGCTAATTAACAAATAATAACAACACAATCGGTAAATCACATCGATCACTTTATTCTTGTGAGAATATTGAATTGAAAGAATTGATTAGAACACTAAATATTCCAATTTTTAACTCACGATTGGAATGAATATTAATCAGCTAATTGGTCCAAATTCGAAGTCGTGAACTTTGAACTCTCAGATCAAATTCGTACTTAAACTATTCTGTTAACCGTTAGATGGAGTTAATGACTTAGAGTAATTTCTAGAAACCGCATGTTAATGAATCGCATGTTCTTCACGTTGAAGTGACTTTAAATTGTTGGTTTTCTTTAATTTTCTTATTGTAATTAGTTGATCATTTTGTCTCTTTGTTCTTAATTCTTTTCATTAAAGATGTATAGTTTATTGTTGCGTCGATCTCCCCGTGCTTTTGGAAGGTTAGTTTATCGTAATTACTCAAAGGAGATTAAATTTGGTTCCGATGCAAAGGTTCAAATGTTGGCTGGTGTTGATATACTTGCCGATGCCGTTGCTGTTACTATGGGACCTGCTGGACGAAATGTTGTAATTGAACAATCATGGGGATCACCAAAGATCACCAAGGATGGTGTGACTGTGGCCAAAGCTATTGAATTGAAGGACAGGTACCAGAATATTGGTTCCAAGCTTGTCCAGGATGTTGCTCATGCTACAAATGAAGCTGCCGGTGATGGTACTACAACAGCCACTGTCCTTGCCCGAGCTATTGCCAAGGAGGGTTTTGATAAGATATCGAAAGGAGCCAATCCCAATGAGATTAGAAAAGGTGTCATCATGGCTGTGGAAAAGGTTGTCGACAATTTGAAATCAAAGTCCAAAACTGTAACAACACCCGAGGAAATTGCTCAAGTTGCCACAATCTCAGCCAATGGAGATTCAACTATTGGTCAATTGATCTCGGAAGCCATGAAGAAGGTCGGTAAAGATGGAGTGATCACCGTTAAAGATGGTAAAACCTTGACTGATGAATTGGAGGTGATTGAAGGATTGAAGTTCGACCGAGGTTACATTTCTCCTTATTTCATAACCTCGCCCAAAGGAGCTAAAGTAGAATTTGAAAATTGTCTTGTGTTGATAAGCGAGAAGAAAATCTCTTCTGTCCAACCCTTGATTCCTGCTCTAGAAATGGCCAATGCTCAACGAAAACCTCTTTTAATTATTGCCGAAGATGTTGAAGGTGAAGCTTTGACCACTTTAGTATTGAATAGATTGAAGATCGGTCTTCAAGTTTGCGCTGTAAAAGCTCCTGGTTTCGGCGATAACAGGAAAAATACTCTTGCAGACATCGCCATTTCAACTGGAGCAACAGTTTTCGGTGATGATGCTAATCTGACCAAAATGGAGGACATTCAGTTATCTGATTTGGGTACAATTGGTGAAGTTACAATTACCAAAGATGATTCTCTTTTATTGAAGGTAAGTTTCAATACTCTTATTCTTATTCTTATTTTATCTGATTTGAATTGATCTAATCTCATTTAATCTGATCTCATTCATCTTCTCATTACAGGGAAAAGGTAACAAATCTGAAATCGATGCAAGAATCGAGCAGATTAGATTCGAAATAGAAAATACAAGCTCCGAATATGAGAAGGAAAAATTATCCGAGAGATTGGCGAGATTAGCGAGCGGTGTTGGTGTTCTCAAGATCGGTGGTGCAAGTGAAGTCGAAGTCGGTGAAAAGAAAGACCGAGTAAACGATGCTCTAAATGCCACTCGAGCTGCAGTTGAAGAAGGTATTGTTCCTGGTGGTGGAACAGCTCTTCTTAAATCGATTAAAGTTCTAGACGATCTGAAGCCAATCAACGACGATCAAAAGACAGGTATTGAAATCGTTCGAAAAGCGTTGAAAATGCCATGTATGCAGATCGCTATGAACGCAGGAGTCGATGCTTCAGTTGTGGTACAAAAAGTGTTGGACTCAAATGACCCTAACTTTGGATACGATGCTCATCTTGGTGAATTCACTGACATGATTTCCGCTGGTATTATTGATCCAACTAAAGTTGTTCGAACTGCTCTTTCCGATGCTTCCGCTGTCGCCTCCCTATTGACAACAGTAGAAACTGTTATCGTTGAAAGTCCCAAAGAAGACAAAGCCGACGCCATGGGAGGAATGGGAGGCATGGGCGGTATGGGTGGAATGGGTGGAATGGGAGGAATGGGTGGTTTCTAACCCTCCCCCAGTTCTCAGTGACTTAGACAAACACAACTAACTTAGTCATTACTTGAGCCGAAATTGCATTTTCATCCTAAAATCGTCCCTGTTATTTTGCCATAAAACACATACCACATCATTAATGACACACCAATAGTAATTTAGTAATTTCGATCCTAATTTAAACGAAAATTCAACCTGAGAACACAAAAAAAAATAATTGTTTATAATAAGATTTTTTTTCTACATATATATTATTTTCACCAACGAATCAACCATATATATGTAGTGTAGTTTATTTAATAAAAAGCAATATTTTCATTTGTAATGTTCGATATTCTCTTGAAACGGAAAAAAATTATCAACTAAATGATTAAATTGCAAATTCGATTTGCACACTCCAAATGGTAACACGCAACATCAAAACTCGACGCAAACTCGAGATAAAAAATGAGAAGAAAAGTTCTAACATTTGATGGAAAAAAACAAATAGAACAACTTTGATTCTAACACAGTAACAAGTTCGAATTTCTCTTTTTTTTTCGTAGATTCGGATTTTCGGAGTTTCAATAGAATCAAATTTTTTTTTCTTTCAGTTAATTAATTGATTAACTGACGATGGAAACTTGGAATGAATCGTATTTGAATCCATGTGTTAATGAGGTTCATCGATATCTTCCCAAGTCCAATATTTTCGATGACTGTTTACCCGATTCTGGTGGTGATCCAGGTCGGATTTACATGGAGCGACCTGAGGATATGCTTGATCCAAGTCAAATTAATCCAGGTAAGTTTCAAGTGTATTGATTATTATAATCCACTAATCAACTGATTGGTTACCTGTTGACAGCTTTTCTACCGATCATAATAACCCATGCGATCACATTTATCATCGGAATCGCTGGAAACATTGTCGTCATTCTTACCTGGGCAGGTAGAGGTAAATTAAGATCACCAACTACGGCGTTTCTTGTGTCACTCGCTGTCGCAGATTTGTTACTATTAATTGTTTACGTTCCGTTGGAAACGCTTGAATACTTTGCAGTCACATGGGACGTCGGAGGTTCAGTTTGTAAACTAAGTTCGTACGTTGAAATGCTATGTGGTATATCGTCTGTCCTTAATTTGGTCGCTGTTTCAATTGAAAGGTAATTACAATTCCCTTAATAGTTAATCAATTCTAATCCAATGTTGAAACAAAAAATAATCTAATTGTTGCTCGAAACTTTCAACAACTAAGTTACCTGTTGACACTCAAACGGTTATTGAATTAAATGAAAACCTTAGTTGAACTTATCGTATTTATTAATAAATCTATCAATTCATGATCGTTTTAGCAATCAATTGATTGTCAAGCTAAATATCATCTTGAAGCTTAAATCATTACAGTTTTAACATGTAACAGTTTATGTTGTTAATTTTTATCCTCAAACTGGACAATCAATTAAATGAACTTTGTATGAAACGGTCAGTTGACTGAATCGAGAAAAATATCAAATCAAATCGTGGCAGAATTGTTGATTCATTTTTACCACATGAACTTTTCCTAGCTCATGATAATCTTTGGAATACTTGAAATGGTAAATAATCTTCTTATCTCACTTGAACTTATCTAATATTTGATAGAAACTCATCACAGTAAAGATATAAATGATTACCATCATCACCAATTACGAAAAAAAAAAATATCATGAAGATAATATTTCATCATAGTAACTGAGTAGCATTCAGATGATTTCAGGCGAAAGGAGATGAAAAGATATTTGCTAATTGTTATTACTGTCAAGTTGAAATTATTTCACGTGTTAATTTAATTCAACAACAGAATTGATGATCATTCAAGATGGAAAAAAGCTCATCATGATGATTCCAATCTTTCCAAACGATAAACTTTATGAACAATCTGAATCTGAGATGAACAACATGATCATGAAGAAAGGAAGAAGGAAAAAAAACTCAGAAAAATAATATAATTCTGTGAGAGAATAGTAAATTTTTTCTCTTTCAGATTCAGTTCAATCTCTTGGAACACAATAATAAAAGGAAAATTATGATTATCATGTACAATTCATTATCATCAGTAAAACTTTATCATGCTCGTTATTATCATTATCAGTTGAGGGAAGTGAATGAGTTGATGATAAATGTTGAGATTATCAACAAATAACAAAATTATCTTCATGATGAAAGATATTGAAAGATCTGAATAGTTGGAATGAAGTTATCATGAACCTCGTTAATAATATAAATGCTAATGCAATGAGTTACATGGGACTGAGAGATTAAGAACAATTAATAGAAACAATTTAATATTAATTATATGATTTATTTAACTTGTTACATAACATTTTGGGTTAATTATTTACTCAAAGTGTTTAGATTGTCACAATTAACTAAGGGATTCGTTAACTATTATTAGTGTTAAAACTTGTTTACCTAATTGTAATTAATTGATTCTTTTTTATTAGATTGTTTTACTCTAAATAAATCAATGATCATCATTAAATTGTGATTAAATTGTAATTGTAATTCAATGATAACTTTTTCTCATTTTCTTTATTTACTTTTAATACAATTAATTTGTTTAGCATTTTTATTAATCGATTCAATCAATCACCATGATAATACTTGATAGTTTATAGTGAGAGGAATATTAATTCATTTGATCATTAAGATTGTGATTATTTATCAATGAATTAATAGTTTAATTATTCAGCTCATTCGATGTTCAATTGATTAATTTTTCAGTTAATCATTTGATCCCTGAGACTGAAACTCTAAATAACAATTGGATAAACTTTATAGCCTCTTGGTGTTTAATCATTTGAAGGATATTCTTAATCATTGTCAACAATTTAGAGATCATTTTAATTGAAGTCACCTAGATGTTTATAACAATTTAGTGATATGATTAATAAGCTCATGCAACTCAATTAGCTAATTGTCTGGTAAAGGTTTCTCATGGAAAGTGATTCATGAAATTCATATTCATATGTATCATTGAATAGGTAAAGATTTGAATTGATGAAATTAAGTTGATTAATTCAAGGTAATCAACCAATAAAGCAATCGTTTAGTAGGTTGAAGTGAAACTTTTAACAATCAATTTAATAACGATAGCAATTTGAATTGCTTTCAACTGGAAAAGAATCATGAATAGATTGAATAAGAAGAAGGAAAAAGTTTTTATTCAAAATCAAATATTATCTGAATATGGAAATATTAATGTTTTGATTTGATGATTTGATTTGATCAGCTAATTTACATGATAATCGAATTGACTTGTTATTAATATCAATAATAATTCATGGTACATTTTACTGTCTACCTCATGAAAATATCGAACCAGTTTGAGTGAATCAATTCTCAGGGTATTTAAGATTATAATATGAAAGGTCAAGATTCTGATGAGATTCTGATTATGGGATTTTCATTGTCAATATTGAAGAGGTTAATTTGTGGCAGAACTTTTATCATTAAAACATATTAAAGAAAGAAAGAAAGAAAGAGAATGGAAATGGAAATGGATGGAATTATCTGAATCTCATCATCTTCACATGATATTTACACTTCATGATGATGAAATGAGAGGCAAGAAAAATCCATGTAAATTTATCTAATAACCTTAAGGAAATTTACTATTGAAAGTTAACAAATTATCATCAAATTGCTAATATTTCTCAGCAAATCCTCAGATAGGAAATCGATTGTTTTTTCTATGTGAAAATTTATTAATATATCAAAGAGAATCGATAGATTGTCAGGAATCAAAGTATTTTTTCATTTTTGAACATTTTAAATTTCAAAACGGCGAAAAAATTAATCAGCTAATATTAGAATCAACATTCGAAAAGGGTAATGTCCAAGTCCCAAAGTATCTTCGTGAAAACTAAAGGTACACTTTAGATCATAACTGTAAATGTTTTTCTTTGAAGGATAAAAAAAGATTCATTGAAATGGTGAGTTCGAACAGTGGAAAACATCATCATGAAAACGGATAATTGTTCAGTCGAATGGTGAAACTTTTTTTGCCTACAGTTCGTCCAATAGTTAACTACATAATAATAGGTATTAGATTACAGGTAATATAAAAAAAGAACAAGAATTTTTTTTCTTTCAAGGATATTTTCTTTTTTTTATCAAACCCAAAATTGCATGAGACTTACATGGTATCTCATTTGTTACTCTGTAGGAAACCTTTAATCAGAACTGTTCATGAGGTTTTTTTCCTCCATGGAACCACTAACAGCTCCACTACCATTCATATTATTAAAATAAACCCTAAAGCTAATACAGGAATCAGAATATTCAGCAATTCTTATTGAATAGATTGCCTTATCATCATCATCATCATCATATTATCATCTTGATGATAATCACAAGTTTGAACTCTTGTCTCTTGAAATGGTCAGTTAATAATTATCCTGATAATATGAATCACTTTCAGCTAATAATATGTGTTACTTATCATAATAATATCCATGTAATTTTTTATTAATGATAAATCAATTCAGTAACAGATTCAGTTGATTTCATAGATCAACGGGTAATCATATAATTACCCTCGAGTCTTGTTCTGATTTTCATCATGTTTTCTGACGACATAATAATTAAGGCATAAGATAGGTAATGATGGTGTTAATAAATTTTTCCATCAAATAATCAACTTGTTGAACTTTTATTTTCAATCTTGTTGCTCATTTATTCAGGGAGACAAAGATTATATTTACAGTCATGAAAAATTCAGTTGATTGTCATCGATTCTCTCATGAAATCATGATAGAAATTTCATCTTGCAAGATAAATATTAACTTAACGATTAACAATCTTAATCAAAGACTAACCAATAATCTTAACGATAAAATTAGAATCGGAAAACTTTGTAAAACTACAATTTACCTTAACGTTTACATTGTTGAAATCCAATCTTTCATTTAATCATCAACATTGTGCCTGAAGACAAACTTGATTTCTCATCTAATTTAGTGATTCTTAATTATCTCATCAGATTTTTAGTGATAGTTTATCCAATCAAAGCACGAAGATTATGCACTTTAAGTACAAGTCGTCGTGGTCTTTTACTTGTATGGTCACTGGCGGTCATTCTTGCCCTTCCCGTTGTATTTACCAAGGTAAGTTAATCGTAATTATCTTTTCTTAGTCAACAAATTAATTATCAAGACAAAACATATGATAGACATTGGAACAAGTTGACTTGACAATCAAAGCTCTCTCTCTCTCTCTCTCTCTCTCTCTCTCTCTCTCTATCTCTCTCTCTCAAGACGATCTTATATTCATCGTTAATTATCATGATAAATTTGATCACCAACATGGTTGATTATTAAATTGTTATCACGATCACTTCCTCTTCCTTGTTTTCACCACTTTATATATTGTATTTAATATCCTCATAATGAGCATTTCACTAAGGATGGAATGATAATTCTGCTTTTGATAAATGTTTTGTTCCTTTGTTCCTCCTATTAAAATTTTCCTGATATCATGATAATCATCATGAGAATCGTTTCAATATTAACTCATTCACCAATTTCGAAAGTGATCACCTCAAGAGTTTCATCCTCGATTATCATAATCATTTGTTCATTCAACATTTCCAAAGGAAACTCAAGAACCTCTTGAAACAATCTCTAAAACAATTACTAATACTGAATAATACCCCATGATATTCAGCCAAAGGTAAAATAAGAAAATGAATAAAAAAAAAGTTCAATCCTTTTAAACGATATCCTTCTGGAAAGAAAAGGTTTCAATAAGATTTCAGGATAAAAGTTGATAATCTTATTGATAATTAGAAAAACAAAAATTAACCAACAACTGATTGAATAATCTTCAAGTTTATTATCAATTAAAATTTGTTTTTTGTTTTTATCAATGAAACTCATCAATTCCTAACGATTAACTTTATTCACAACTTTTCAAACAATTACTCACAATTAATTGGATGGAGTCACGTTGAGCTTCATCAATCATTAACAGTCTCACCTTGATTTAATCAAGATAATCAGTGAATCAATATATCCACATACATATTAGCTGATAATGAGTAAGAATTCATGATCACTGAACTTGGAACCGTCTAGATTATTATCACTATTCCCGTTGAATATTAGGTGACTTTGAATATATTTCTCAATATTAGAGGTTAGAACTACTTTTTTGTAAGAAGGAAAAAACTATTAAGTTTCTAATTCTTGATTAAATCATGATGATGTAATATATATATAGTCAGGGAATGGAAACTTTTCATTAAAACTAATTAGCTAAAAGTTCAATCAAGAGTAATAAGTTAATGAAATTATCATTCGAAGGAGAAAACGTTATTAACATGATGAAAGAGAACAAAAAATTCTATTAACAAATAAATATTCTATTACTAAGAATTTACATTGAATCGATATTGATACATGAATATTACTAGAATTAACTAAATAACAATCAAATTTGATTACATGAAAATATAACAATCAATGGAAATGAATTTTTGTGAATAAAATTTGTGATCACAATGAATTGAAAACAATCAATAAACAATTTCATTTCTATTGCTCCATGTATTTCATCATGAATCTAAGTTATCTCAATAAGTTTCAACACCATGAGACGATTATCATGCAATAACTTAATCAAAATAATAATAAGTAGTTGCTAATCATGGATAAACATTATAACCATTAATCAAGTTGTAGATTTTTTTTCTTTTATCATAAAGGTTCAGTTCTGATACGATTTCAGGGTGATTTTTGGCTCAATGAATCCTTTAAACTGAGAATTGAGTCAGATTTTTATATATTATCATGATATCAAATAGTCAAATAATATTAATAGCTTCGTAAAGATTAATATATTGGTAGGGAATTTTTTTTTCTCGGATTATTATTATTGAATATTATGAATTCTTGAATTGATTCCAGGGTTTCATGAGGAGAGAATGATTCTTAAAAGTTATATAGAAATAAATAATCATCGATGTTGATAATAATAATATCAGAATTTTCAGAATTCTTTGAATTCTTGATACATTGTTATCATGATTCGTTAGTTGATCTGATTGAACAACGTCATGATATTGATTCATTTTCGCTGGGGATAATTATCTCGTTAGTATTCATTAACTGATCTCACTGAAGATCACGTTAATTTGTGACGTGTCAACTTCATCAGATTGGACTGAGATTATCTTACAAATGATTAGAATACAAAACTAAACCTGAATAGCAATTCTCTCTCCATCATTGCCGTTCTAAATTCAATAACCAATGAAATTAAATATCATGGTGATTCTCAACTCATCAACTTGTTGTTGATAAGATTAATGAGCCTAGAAAATGATTTAGTTGATGAAAGTCGATGATAAACAATCGTAATTAACTTCCATCATCTTAGAACTTTGTTTTTCTTTCTTTTTTTATATATATATCTCAAGATAATGATTCTGAGTTTTCACGCGATTTCATTGCCATTAAATTTTCCCCAAAATTCACACAGAGTTCAAGTTCCTTGCGTGGCTATCAATTTGATCTAATTCTTGGTTATATTCCATAGAGAAAGTTTGATTCAAGATAAGATAAAAGTGATCGATCAGATAACTGATTCGTTGAGGAAAAGGTCTCCTTAAAGTTCATGAACAAGACTCATAAGAAATGAACTTTCCCTGTGTCATTATTTTTATTACCTGAAAATGGTGAACAGTTCAATCCTTAAAAGTTTCAACACTTGAAAATGATTCAGATTGATGATCATTATTATGTAAACATTTCGCCTCATTAACTAAATCAGTCAACTTGTTTGTGATTAAGATGATCTGTTGATGATTAGATTGATTATTCAAATAGGATGAATAAAACTCCTTTGTTATCATTATTGTCATCACCAACATTTTCACTAATTAATTTGACAAATAATAAAATATTCAAATGGTAATATGTTAATACATAAAAGATAATTAATTAATACATTAGATTGGATTCATCGTAACGAAATGTTTATCATTATTAGCATTTGAACCATAGAAAAAGTTATCATCAGTTATTACTTTTTCTTGCCATTATTTTTATTGTCAAGTAACAAATTATGGTTACCTTGTAAACAATTAATTCCAATGGTATAAAGTAGGTCAACCATAGTTGTATTGATAATCAATTTGGTCAAGATGAGTAGCAATAAATACCAGAATCATCATCATCATCATAAGTGTTCATCATGATAATTACACTCTGAACTTTTCCTCCTCGTTAATTCATATGTTTTAATCTGATAAAAGTAAAAAGTATCAACAATAATGATTTTTAATCGTTTCATTAATTTTCTTTACAGAGGATTTATCCAATAACTTATTATAACAATCATACTTCAGAAACTGCTTATTATTGTTGGGATTCTGATGATGGTTGGGCTACTTTCATTGCTATCTATCAATTACTTGCAATGTTTGCAATTCCGGGAGTTTTAATGGTTATCTGTTACTTTTGTGTTATCCAAGAACTCTGGGTTAGCACTCGAACCATGGCCTCGATGACCAAAAATTTGTCCACATCTTTAACCGGCCCATCATCAAGTACAACTAATTCCAATAGTAACAACACTTCAACAACTACGATAGCAACATCAGCCATGGGGAATACAACGGTAATCACCACACCGATCAACACCAATCCAAGTTCAGTTGGATCGAATAGTTTTCGCTCTGATTATCAGATTAGATGGCCTTCCAATAAACATGAGAAAATAGTGTATCCCAAATCACATTCCCATGGATTTCACATTAGACAAGCTAGAAAACAGGTAAGATTTTACTAATCCATTATCCATTCATCATTTACTATCATCATGATTATTATTATGGTGAATATTTTTTTCCCCCAATTTATGGTTATTATATGAATGAGAATTTATCATTGATCAGTATCAACAATATTACTTAAGTCAACATGATCATTGTTATGGTGATTATATGAAAGGTAAAGTTAGTACAACGATTTTATCACATCATGACTGAAATTTTTTCTTCAGTCCAAAATTATCATATCAACTGCTATGAGCAGAATCATCAAGTTATCATTAAGAATTTTTTATCTATTCATTTATGTAATGGAAATTATTTTATGGTTTACAATTAGTATTAACTAATTGTTACGGAAATGGTGAAGTTCATCTAGATTCATGAGATTATTTATGAGCTCACTTGATCATTGAGTCAAGATTAATCAATATGATTTGATGATTATATCTCATCTAAATTCAGGCAAAGAAACATGGTCTAGTTCATTAACTTTGTTACAATATGATTTTTTATCTTAATTGTAATAACCATCTTGAGATTTGCTCAGTTTCATCACAATTAGCCATATTCTTGTCTCATTATTCATCATATACAATTGGGAATTGATGATAAAATTATTTATATATACTTTTAGCTATTTTTTGATAATGTTTTCATCCTGAAACGATTCAATCTGATAATGAACTTTCAGTTCTATTCGGCAGCACAACTCATCCTGGAAATCAAATCATACATCAAATTGTGATTTCTAAACGATTTTTTGTCTATTTCAACTTGAGGCAAAAATCGCTACAAGACATTATCATAGAACCTACGATAATGATGAACATTCTAATCATTAAATTCTAATGACTGCATACATTTAGTTATTGCTGTAACTAGAATTCAATTGAAAACAAAAGTCTCTTTCCTAGTTCTGAATTTACACGTAGATCTCTCATCTTTTCAGATTTCATCCTCCAACTTCAGTGAGCATTCCCATTTCATGTACTAAAGCTGAAAAAATTCAGCGATTCTCATCCTCAGATTAATTGATGTTGTTTCCTGTTATGTCAAAAATTTTTTCGAAATTTTTATACACATCCTTTTCTGTATATTTTTCCACTATTCCCCGTACATAATTGGGTTGATTGTGTTTTTAAATTGCTTGGATTTCGGTATTAAACAAAAAATTAAATGATTCAATTGAAACAGAGCATTTTCTATTTATCGTATGACTATTCTGATGAGAGATGAACTTATTTTATATTTGCCAGATTAATGCATAGTTTTTCTGAAAGATCAACCCATCTCTAAAAATCAAATTTAACGGTAGTAGTAAGTACAGTCCTCGGCAAAAGGTTAAGGACAACAATTATTGATTGTAATTAGGTTCTGAATGAGACTCAGTCCAAAAATTTAAAGGTCGTAATGGATAGTTTGAATAATGAGAAAACAAATAAATTAGGTAGATGGACATAAATTAATTAACTAATTATTTCAATTACATTAAATCAAACTCGTCAAAAGTTTAGAGACAATTAAGTTAGTTGTTAGTTTATTCGATAATCAATTTAATCTCCTCGATCTTGAATAACCTTAACCATACCATTTTTCATAGATGGTATCGAACTTTCTTGGAGCTCTAATGTGAGATCAGACCACGCTTTTCAAAAGCTTCACAGAACTCAGAGAATTCTGGTGTGATTGTGGTTGTGATTGTTGCTGATAAGGTTGTCAAAAGATTCGAGAATTGGAATCAACTTTTTTGGTGTCAAAGCAGTTTTCCAAGGCTTTCAATCGTTGAAGAGACGTAGAAGAAGAATTCAGTATATCGAACAAGATGTGCAGCCTGTGAAACAGTTCAATAATCAGCGCATAATCATCCAACTTTGGATGTCCTTGACAAACAGCATAAGCAAACGAAGAAGTTACAAAATGGCTGAATAGTTGAGTTGCTAACTTAGCTCGCATTAGTTCAAACCTTTTAGGGTCTAGATGCTGTTTCGTCAGCTTAGGGCAAAATGATAGAATTTGTGGGCTTTCTACTATTGGCTTCAAATGATCTTTTACAACTTTCCATTCAACTATTTCTTTAACTTTGTTATATAAATCACAGAAAAGTCCATACTCTATAAGATTATTCCTTATCAATTTTATGATATGGGGAACATCATAAAGAAATTGTATTCTCTTTCCGTCAAACTCAAATGAAGAAGAGGTAGAATCAATAGCGAAAGCATCAGCTAAAGCTATATTCTTCCCATCTTTATCACAAGCAGTTGCTATGAAATTGAATCCAGCCTCACCAACAACTCTCAAGTTTTCTTGAACAAGCTGCTTCAATCTGCATGTATTAAACTTTTTTGGACTTATAAAATAATAGGATATTATTTGTTTCCAACAAATATATGAGCAGCTATTCCTCTGATTCCAAGAACAAGTACCTTCTCAGCCGGTTCAGAAGTTTTCTTCAAACTTCCTAAGTCTTCATAACCATCCACCGAATCTCTTCGTGAAAGATAAGTAAATCCTGGCTTAATGTCAGTTCCATCAAAGCTGATAACAACAAACCTCTCTTCTGGCTGCAATGATGGTGCATGTTTTTTGAGAACAGCTTCGATTTTAGAAGAGATGCCAGTTGTAGTGAATAAATCCTGATTGAATCTATCGAGAGTTCGTGCTTATGGTAAAGCGAAATATTGACAAAAAATTCAGGTGCGGTAGAACTTTTGGTGAACAGCTTATAATATTGGTGAGTTTCTTAGATTCATCCGAATGACGCTGGCCGCGAGGATCAAGATTATGATTTTTGATTGTACTATCAAAAAGTGTGTATGCTTCAGGAGAAACCAAAGGCTTAAGCTTATCTAGATGCTTAATGATGAAAGAAGCAGTGGATCAGTCTGAAGTTTGAGAAGAGTTCTCTTAAGGTGAGGTTCTTTCCTTTTTAATTCAGTGAGCTCCCCATTATCTATGAGGTCACACTTAATTCCTATTTCAGCTTCTGTTTTCACATACGGACTATCATCATTTTTGATTCGTAAATTTCAGTATCGTCATTCTCAGTATCTTCATTTTCAAAATAATCAATGAGTGCATTTGCCTGTCCTACGCCATTTTCAGCTCACAACTATTAGAAATCGGCTAAATAAACCTGTCCGTATCTGTAAATGAAAATGAAAATGCAAATGAAATTTTCACATTATTTTAAATATTTGAGTGTCCAGCCAATCAGGCCGATTCTTTAATAAAATAGTCGTTGGCCCGATCGAAGCTTCGAATCTGCTCCTTGATTGTGTTAATGTCCATGTGTCAAAAGCATAGTCAAGTCTGTTTATGACCTGTTACCTAAACGCAGCCAAAAACTATAGTTCGGAGATAAGAATGTTCTTGACGCTGGTAAATATCTTCTGTTTTATCCACTGTTTCTTCACAATTGTCACCATCGTCACGAATTTGAGACTCAATTGTATCGAGCCTTTGGTGAATAGTTTTATTGTCCATGACCATTACACCCCAAGTGCTGTTGATTGAGTTTAAAGCCTGGATGATATCGTGAAGTTTATCATTGGATGATGAATTTGAAAATTTGATTCTATCAAACTCATTGTCCTTAAACTTTTACCGGAGACTTTATGTAGCAGGATGTGGAAAAGGATGAGCCTGTGAGTAAAAAAAGGCGATTTCTATGAGCAAACTAGCTTTTGTAAGGGTGTAAACTGACGTAGTCTCAGACAGTTTGGTCCATTAACGTTCGACAAAGCAATAAATAGCAATAAAACAAAGAAATTCAATATTGATGATAGTTTATGTTAAGATTAATTAAACACATCGCCCTTAATATCAAATACGGGAAATTGTTGAAGAAATTGTTTCAATTTATTACTGATAGTACTGATACTGAAGTCACCTGGATCTTTGAACGCAAGTGACAAAGTTTTAAAGTGATTTAATTGTTTCATGCGATTTATCGTAAGGTCAACTTAGTGTTATCACTTTTAAATTTGATTAGAATAATAAAAAACTAATCTCGATTGTTTTAAGTAATAAATTTGAATCACAAAAAGATAAAAATTTTAGAAAATTCGTAGAAGAGAATCTGAGTCTCGATAAATCAAAGAAAAACTCAAAATGCAACTTGCATTCAAGGTTGTAGATATTCTGGTGAAATAATATAGAAACAAGGAAGCAACATGGAAAAAGATTATTATTCTAGTGAATAAGATTCCTAGAATTTCTGAATCTATTGTGAAGGAAAACAAAAGAAAAGAATTTTTTTCTCTTCTAATCTTCAATTTATTTAGATTCGATGATGTAACTTATATGATGATAACATGATCTGAATTCGATTGTTACAATCTTTCTATTATCAAGGAATAAAATTAACTACATGAGAATTTAGAGTCTAATCTTCATTTTCTCTTATTAGAAAATTGTAATAGAATCTTCTTTTTCTCCTTCCTCTTTTAATTTAAGAATTTATCGAAACTTTTGCAGCCAATTTGTCATTTAGAACTTTTTCTCCCGTTAGAAGAACATATTTTTTTGATAACATTCTCATCAGAAGAAACATCGAGTTCAAAGATTCTAGTTATTATTAATAATGGAAATTATGTTAACAAAGAATTTTCTATGGAAAAAAATTTCATTTTTTCATTATCATCTTTTCATAGACTCAGTTCCATCATCATTATCATCAGATTGAAGATGCTGACAGGGTGAAGATGAGAAAGAATATTCTATGATGACAACATGTGTAAGGTTACATTGAGGCCCTTGAAAACATTTTTCTTTCCATCTCATGCTCATTAACATGATAATCAATGAATTAATCCTTTTGTCAGATAGTATTGATATTCATGATATGGTGAGATTATCATTTAACAGGAATAATCTAGATATGAAGATGATCTCATCAGTAGATGACAGATGAAGATGATTTCTCGAGTGAATTTCTAGATCCTTACGATTCTGTATCAATAAAAATGACAATTACTATCTGATCAAATTTCGTAGTTGATATAATGAATTTTAATATCAAACATTTCCCGCAAACTTTTCATTCATCATTTCATTTCGTGTTTATCGGTCCATTTTTCAGGAGTAGGAAATAAAGTTCTGAGTTGTAGAATGTTAAACTGAGAAAAAAAGATGGAATCATTTGTTATTCTGAATGTATGGGGATTGAAAAGAAAATTCTTGAGAATTTCCAATTCAAATGAACATTGGAAACAAAAACAATATAAGACAAGAACGAGTAAAGATTTAGCTCATCAAGTGGGAGGAAAAAGTTGTCATCGATTTTTTCAAATCATAGCTCTCATGAATCTATCATCAACAAAATTCGTCAGTGTCATGTTATCATCAGATAAAATAGTACTGTACATGATAAACAATAAACAATTTCAAGAGTGAATCAGTTGGATAACTTGATAACCATTTTCAAAATGAGAGCATAATGACTGCTCTCTTTTGCCTGATTGAACTTTACTCTGAGCGGTAAAATTTGAGCAAAACTTTCTCTTTCTCTGTAAATTGTAAACTTTTTCCCACCTTCAACATCCAATAAACATAATTTAATTCACAATCAATCAACGATAATGATCAGGTTCATCATGATGATGATGTACAACGGATAATGTGATCATGTCCTAAAACATGTCAACAGCTCAAATACTAGTAACATGAACAATAACATGATAATGTAACTAAAAATTTCATCAGGTAGAAAAAGAAATAGAAATAGAAATAGAGTAAAGTTCTGATAATTCAAGTTCGATGAGCGAAAAGGTTTACAATTTCAACTAAATTACAATAGAATCGTTTATTCAAACATTGAAATGATGTCTTTTGAAATTTTACAACAGAAAAAAGCTGAATAGCCATAAATCTGAATACTAATTTCACAGAATCGACGGAAAAAGTTTCATAAAATAGTTAGGGTTTTATCATTAATTTGTATCATGAAAATCACCCCGGGAATCTTTCCGGGATCATTTTTCTAATTCTGATTAAGAGAAGCAGATATTTCTTCCTTGTAAATGGGTGGAAATTTTTTGAAACTTTAACAGTTTTGATCGTTTAAAATGATAAATCATTAACAGCTACTGGACATTGTCCAGTTCTCCTGGTTTTAATGCTGTTATCATTTTTCACTCCCAATTTTTCTGATACAAGTTGATATCATCACTCCCACTTCTGTCAAAAGCAGAAAGTTCTGAGTGACTGAAGTGAATTCAACTGTTTAGATTCCCTGTGAAACTCAGATAAAAATTACATCACGAGAAAAATGTTCATAGATATCATTTTTCGTGGTTAATCATTGACTTCCCCCCAATCAGATTACAGAAATTACAGAGAAATATTTACATTTATATTTGAAATTCTTCATATGTAATAACATGATATTTAAATATCATATTCTCATGAGTATATGTAATAGTTTATTGTTTCTGGTCTGTTGTTGACCAGACAATTTGTGTACAAATTAAAATGGACAAGTTGATGTATCATTAAACGTTAGAGTCGATTCTATTCAAATCAATTGGAATTACTTATGTTATATGAAAATTTTGCCATGTAACCAAGTGAGGAATGGAAATTTTCATGGTTTCTCTTGCGAAATAGTTATCATGACTGAACATAAATCTCACCATGTTACTATGATGTATCAATTGAATCAATAAGAAATCCGAATGATTTCCTCCAAAAAAGTGATGATAATTACTGAATAAAGTTTAGGGAAATTCAAACATAGGGATTCAGGGGATAGTAGATACAGATAGAGATTGAAATGAATATCAATCATATTTTAATAACACTATGACAAACTAATCCTACTTCTTACATAATAATTTGATAGTCATTAACCTTGAACTCGGGAATCGATTAGTAGGTCAAATAATTACTCTCCATGAGATGAAGTTTCCATTACACTTATAAAACTCTATCCATCAAAAGCTGAATAGATAGAAAGACTTTCTTGATAACAATTAACATCCGCAAAGTTATAAGTTAATCTCACGTTTCCTTGATTCACAAATCAGATATATTTTCATGTGTATTATTTAAGATTGCAGGGGAAAAAGCTGACAAATTCCAAGAGAAAATAAAAAATTCTGAAAGCAAATCAATAGTAAATATCTCACATGTAATCTCAATATTTAACCATGAATAACATGTAGTGAAAGATACATGTAGGTGGGTAATAAACAGAAGCCAAGTAATAATATGAACTGAGCCAGGTAAACAACAGGTAAATTATCACTTTTCCTTGCCGTAGACAGGAATGTCTCAATTATATTTCAATTGAATCAATTACCATGAAAATTCAAAAGTTCACAGTTCTAAGAAAACTCGTTACAATTGACAATCGAAACTGTTACAATATATACGAAAGATTTAGCTTTCCACCTCTACCCTGAGCTAAATATAATATATCATGTAATGAAAAAGACTTTACCTTCAGAACTTTAGTTGCATGTGGCAAAAAATAGAGAGAAAAAAAAATTATATTAAAAAAGGAACACAAAAGAAAACAAAATTCTGAACATGAACCTCAATTGTTAAGGAGATACAACATTTTCCTTGGATATTTGTAGTTAAAAGTTTCATCACAATTTAAAGATTAAATGAATTCAGATTGTTGACAAAACTGAATGATAATGATTAAGAATTTTAAATTCTCAGGTGATTGATTAAATTTCCATTTGAATAGGTTACAAGATGAAATATCAAATGAATCAATGAATTCTAATATAAAATTTAATAACAATAATCTTTTCCCAGGTTATCAAGATGCTAATTTTTGTTGTACTCATTTTCCTATTCTGTTGGGGACCTCGACTTATAATTAACGTGGTAATTAAATTTGGCCTTCAAGATTATAATCAAACAATTTATTCAGCTCGAGTTACCTGTTACCTTTTATCGTTTATCCATTCGGCTCTTAATCCATTTATTTACGGATTTATGTCAACCAATTTTCGTAAGATGATGTGCTCATCATGTTCACACACTGGACATGGTCAAACATCACAATCAGTTAATTATGTTAACAATAATACTGGAAGCTGTTCACTTGCAAGTGATCATCATCATCATCATATAATTGGCTGTGTTCGTGAATCAATTGAAAGTGGTATCGGTTTAAATCTTACAGCCAATGAAACAAAATCAATCAATTTACTTAATCATCATCATCTCCAGCCCAATTTACCTCATTATGGTTCAATATTAACAAGTGACATTATATTGGATGGTAATAACAATAGCCCCGGGCTAAAGGATCAACTTGATTTGACCAATACTTCATATACACCAATTAACATTCATCTAAATTCAATGGTTAAAAATAAACTTGATTCAATATCAATGGAGACAGAAATTTTATGAATTTGTCCAAAATAACAATAATAATTAAACAACAATCAAGTCACAATTTGTATAAATATTTTCCAAACAATACTAATGGTCAGTTGGTCAGTTTCGTCTCTGTGCCTACCATCAATAGCCCACAATCAATATCATAAATGGATGAATCTTAAACTGAATTTGCTTTTTTAATCCACTTTGTAATCTCACTTAATCAGCTAATCTAAACAACCAAAGGTAAACAGTTAACTTGATTGTTTGTTTATCAACAAAAAACGGAACAGGAAATGATGACAGTTAACCTTTCAAAGATAATTAAAAGTGATAATAATAATCAACGAAGCAATTTTAATCAGTCTGATAATCAATTCGTATGAAATCAAAATATCAATTAATGATTTTATCAAATGAAAACAAATTGATTGTCATCATCCAAATGATTTAATATTTTTACTCAATGTATTAATAAATTTAATGAAAATCAACTGATTATTGTTAAAATCTTAATTTGATATTATACAAACTAATTAATTGTAGACATTGATGAATGAAAATTGTAATTATAATGTAAAAACAGTAAACCGAATTAAAGGAAATCTGAAAATTATTTTATCTCATTCTTTATATTAACATGGTAACTGAAATTTGATTAATTCTGAATAATAAGTTGATTAATTTGAATTTATTAATAATAATAATCTAGGATTGAGATGTTAGTTAAAGCTAATTGTTTATATTATTAGTTATATTCATGTTCATTTCGAGGAAAACATTTTCATGAGAGAAATGAATTACTAACAATCTATTTTGATTGTTATCTACTAACCAAAAAGATCAAAGGTTATGGAATCAAGGACAAATACTAATTGTTGTTAATTACCTTACAATTTATCTCTCTCTCTCTCTCTCTCTTGAATTGAATTCACAATTATACGATCACCAAAAGAAAGACGATGAACATTTAAAATCAACCTATCAAACTAATTATGAAATGAAACAAATTTAAATACTTGAACTTTTCTTTTAATTAAAACCATATTAAAATTAAGAGTAAACTGAGTCGAACACCATAAAGGTGCCAACGCAACTAATCCACCAAAATGGTGGATTCAAGGAAAAGGAAAAGAGAGAGAGGGGGAAAAACTGAAGGGAAAGTTAAGGTGGTTTGGCCAGGTACTAAACCAGTTTCAGTACCTGGCTAAAGTTGTTATGACATTATCCGGACGCCATCCTCGTAAAGTCCCTTTTACGAGCAGAATTATTCAAACGACTCGGCAGACTATCCATATCGAAGGTTGCAGTTAGATTGTTCAAGTCCATAATAATATAATAATAAATTTTAAATGAAAATTTCCAACACCAGACCAATTACCCAGTTTAATAGTTATTGATTAAATTTATTCTTAAGATAATAATATTCAGCTTCCACTGCATATTCCTTGAATTCGTCCATTGAATTAACCTTTACCAAAGCGATATACTTTAAAATACCAGGGAGGAATCCATTTTTAATATATCTTATTTTATCATCGAGATCCATATTTGGATCAAGTTTAGCACACAGGCCAACCATTTCAAAGAAATAAGATATAACATCTTGACCTTCTTGTTGCTTTTTATTTTCAATTTTCGAGCGTAATTCGTCTTGGTGTAACGAAGGTTGTTTGAAAGCGGCGAGTAATTTAGCTTTCAAATCATTGAAAGTAGCTGGTCGTTGATCAACAGGTTTACTTCTTATACTACCAGCATACCAATCTTTAGCAGGGCCAATTAAATAAACAGGTAATCGTCTTAATTTATCAGTATTATTTAAACCAGCAGCTTCAGTTATTTGTTCAAAATCGTCAAGCCAATCATAGACATCAGCATTATTTCCATCAAAGTTTTTAATATTGTTTAACAAAGTATCATCAAAATATCGGCTCGTCATATTTAAGAATCTTTGTTCGATGTAGACTGACTATTAAATCCAACAAAAGCGGACCAGCAATCTTGAAATGAACGGCTAACTCAATTAACCAAAAAGACAAAAGTTTCACAGATTCTGGAACAACGGACAATCGAGTCAGTTACTTGAACGACAAATTATTTAAACCAACAAATTATAACTAAATGATAATCAATAACTAGATTATCCAAAGAATCAAATACAAAATTTTCTGTTATAATAAATTTTCCAAACGAAATTGACTATTAAATCCAAGACAAACGAACCAGCAATCTTGAAATGAACGGCTAACTCAATTAACCAAAAAGACAAAAATTTCACAGATTCTGGAACAACGGACAATCGAATCAATTAGTAAGAAACAAATACAATTTTCTCAATAGAATTTAACAAAGATGATAAACAATAACTAGTTTACCAATCAAATTTTAAACGAAGTTGACCAAATGACGAAAGTGATAAACAATAACTAGTTTACCAATCAAATTTTAAACGAAGTTGGCCAAATGACGAAAGTGATAAACAATAACTAGTTCACCAATCAAATTTTAAACGAAGTTGACCAAATGACGAAAGTGATAAACAATAACTAGTTTACCAATCAAATTTTAAACGAAGTTGGCCAAATGACGAAAGTGATAAACAATAACTAGTTTATCAAACGAAGTTAAACGGAATTGACCAAATGACGAAGATGATAATTAATAACTAAATTATCAATCGAATTTAAACCAATTGACGAAGATGATAATTTATAATTAAATAATCAGACAAATTTAAACCAAATGACGAAGATGATAATTTATAATTAAATAATCAGACAAATTTAACCAAATGTTGAACGTAATTTACCAATTGACGAAGATGATAATTAATAACTAAATTATCAATCGAATTTAACCAAATGTTGAACGTAATTTACCAATTGACGAAGATGATAATTAATAACTAAATTATCAATCGAATTTAAACCAAATTTTAATCCGAACGTCACAGAATTATAACTAATAACTAAGTTACACAATTGTTTCGACAAATGAATCACCAGGAAGACAAATGAATCACAATAGTAACTAATAACTAAGTTACTCAATTATTTCGACGATTTAATTACCACGAGGACAAATGAAGCACAAATGTAACCAATAACTTGGTTACTCAATCGTCCCATCTAAAGAAATTGTTAAACGTTTTTACAAATCTAAAAGTTAAACGTTAATGTCAAACTCTCACAAAAGATTTTAATCTGATTCAATAAACTGAATACTTATCTATACAGTAGCGATAGTGAGTAAAATATCCAAAGTTTTCGAGATAATTTCAATCATGAAACTGAAAGAAGTCCAATTAAGAAACAAAAATCAAGTTGATCATAAAGAACAAATTCTGACTGATGAGTTTCTTATTGAGAATTTTTTTGTCTCTTATTGTAAAACAAGATAAACAGGTTTATTTTTTTTTTGCTAGCTAATGTAACAAGGCCACGATTACTGGCAATAATCGATTTTTATCAACAAAGAAACGATTTTCGACAAATAAGAAACTAACATTAATCAAAATCTAACACCATAACTACAATTATCTTATTCATAATAGTTTCAATTTGAAATGAAACAAACCTAAAAGAAAGGAAAAATCTTAACGATATATTTATTTTTTTTTATTGACTTGGGTTAATAATAAAATGCTAAACAAATTGATCAATGGTAATGGTTTAAGCAGAAAAATTTGGCCTTATAAATGGACATTAATCGAAAAAAGTCTTCAAAAAAAATACCTGAGAATATCGGTAATTCAAACACCTCAATCTCACTATTTGACTATTCTAATTCATTATACGTAAGGTAACAATACAAAAGAATCACTGAAAGCAAGCACAGATCATTATTGAACTAAAATACGAATGATAACGATAATAAGGTAACGAGAATAGCAAAAACAATAGATATCACGTCCGGGTCACCATGAATTGAATTCACAATTATACGATCACCAAAAGAAAGACGATGAACATTTAAAATCAACCTATCAAACTAATTATGAAATGAAACAAATTTAAATACTTGAACTTTTCTTTTAATTAAAACCATATTAAAATTAAGAGTAAACTGAGTCGAACACCATAAAGGTGCCAACGCAACTAATCCACCAAAATGGTGGATTCAAGGAAAAGGAAAAGAGAGAGAGGGGGAATGTATTCAACAAATCACCACTGAATTTTTAAGCACCAAATACGAACGTATTTATTTCTAATTCCACAAATTCATAAATTATAAAATTGTTATTTCCGAGATTAATACATAGAGTCAAAGTTTAACTGTTTTAATTAACAATTAATAAAACACCAAGAAAATAGATTGAATGGAGCTGAATCGAGCACCTTAAAGGTGCCAACTCAACTGGCCAAAATGGCGGATCAGAAGGAGAAAAGAAGAGAGAGGGAGGGGAAAAATTAAAGGGGAAGACAAGGTGAATTGGCCAGGTACTAAACCAGTTTTAGTACCTGGCCAAAATTGTTATGACATTATCCGGACGCCATCCTCGTAAAGTCCCTTTTACGAGCAGAATTATTCAAACGACTCGGTAGACTTTCCATATCGAAGGTTGCAGTTAGATTGTTCAAGTCCAATATAATAATAAATTCAAAATTTTAAATGAAGATTCCCAACACCAGACCAATTACCCAGTTTAATAGTTATTGATTAAATTTATTCTTAAGATAATAATATTCAGCTTCCACGGCATAATCCTTGAATTCGTCCATTGAATTAACCTTCACCAAAGCGATATACTTTAAAATACCAGGGAGGAATCCATTTTTAATATATCTTAGTTTATCATCGAGATCCATATTTGGATCAAGTTTAGCACAAAGGCCAACCATTTCAAAGAAATAAGATATAACATCTTGACCTTCGTGTTGCTTTTTATTTTCAATTTTCGAGCGTAATTCATCTTGGTGTAGCGAAGGTTGTTTGAAAGCTGCGAGTAGTTTAGCTTTTAAATCATTGAAAGTAGCTGGTCGTTGATCAACAGGTTTACTCTTTATACTACCAACATACCAATCTTTAGCGGAACCAATCAAATAAACAGGTAATCGTCTTAATTTATCAATATTATTTAAGCCAGCGGCTTCAGTTATTTGTTCAAAATCGTCAAGCCAATCATAGATATCAGCATTATTTCCATCAAAGTTTTTAATATTGTTTAACAAAGTATCATCGAAATATCGGCTCGTCATACTTAAGAATCTTTTGTTCAATGTAGACTGACTATTAAATCCAACACAAACGAACCAGCAATCTTGAAATAAACGGCTAACTCAATTAACCAAAAAGACAAAAGTTTCACAGATCCTGGAACAACGGACAATCGAATCAGCTACTTGAACGACAAATTATCAAAATAACAAATTATAACTAAATGATAATCAATAACTAGATTATCCAAAGAATCAAATACAAAATTTTTCTGTTATGACAAATTTTCACAACAAATTGACTATTAAATCCAAAAAAAACGAACCAACAAATCTTGAAACGAACGGTTAACTCAATTAACCAAAGACCAAAAGTTTCACGGATTCTTGGGACAACGGACAATCGAATCAATGAGTAGAAAACAAAATAAACAAAAGCACTCAAAATT